ATCGGGTAGCAGTTTGTCTCTCTCAGAGGTGAGATCACTATGGGGTAGACGTTCCATTCTCCCGAAGGGAAATCCAATTCATTTGCAGCCAGAGTTGGTTGAAGGGAAAATTTGCAGGACCGAAAGCGGACCCGATTTTTTGTAAAGGGTAAGGTTCCTGCAGATTTCCCCCTCAACCAAAACGGGGCCAAACCAATTGAACTCAATTGCGTGCAGAAGGCACGCTTCCAGCAGTAGTGTAGTAGATGTCTTAATTAGATTACTGGTACAGTATCAGTCTGAGACTCTCGTTTTTTCTTTCGAGAAACTTCGAGATTTCAGGGGAAAATTTGCTGTGCACCGGGAGCACCTGGGGGAATATCAATGCATTTCTGCATCAACTAACGTGATTAAACCCATTGCACAGGCCAACTTTCTTCTAATTTCTATCTTGGCGAAGGCTAACTTTTGCCGCCATTGAGACCTTTTTGGCTGATTTCTCATCTGTTAGACCGAACCTCAAATGAGCGAATAACTCGCTCTTTGGTAAATCGATCAAAGCACCGGCAGGCATTTCCTGCTCCTGGAGTGGCGCTCCATCCGCGTATGAGGTCTGCACGCCAGCATGCTGTGCAGTTCTGGTAGGGATCCTGTAACATGAAAGCATGAAAAAAAAAAGACTGCAGCAAGGAAGTGGGGCAGCTCAATAGTGATTTTTGGCAGATCTGCCGACAGGAGCACATGTCCCACAATTGCGCAGTGGAGAACTATCTTATGACACTCCGGCCAGATTTTTGCGGCTGTGGATGCTGTGGCACTGGCCTAGGTGTCCTGGGACCCTGGAAGTCCAACATCCAAGGAACTTCAGCAGTTTGGTTAAGTTGGTGGTGTTCATGTCCAGGGACCCTGCCAGGTCGGAGTCAAGTTGTTGCCTCAGCACTGTTTGGTGGCTTCCAAGGTGTGTTGATATGCTTTTGCTGGGATTTGCTCCACACAATATAGGGTTTATGTGGTTTATATGAGATAATATAATATAATAAAATGATATATAATAAAATAATATATAATATAATATAATATAATATAATATAATATAATATAATATAATATAATATAATATAATAAAATGTAATATAATGTAATATAATATAATATAATATAACAAAATAATATAATCAAATGTAATATAATGTAATATAATATAATATAACATAACATAACATAATAAAATGTAATATAATGTAATATAACATAATATAATATAATATAATATAATATAATATAATAATATATAATATAACATAATATAATATAATATAATACAATATAATATAATATAATATAATATAATAATATATAATATAACACAATATAATATAATATAATTTAAAATAAAATAATATAATATAATATAACATAATATAATATAATCAAATGTAATATAATGTAATATAATATAATATAACATAACATAATAAAATGTAATATAATGTAATATAATATAATATAATAATATATAATATAATTTAAAACAATATAATATAATACAATATAATACAATACAATATAATATAATACAATACAATATAATATGATATGATTTGATATGATTTTGATTTGATTCGATATGATATGATATGATATAATATAATAAAATTTAATACAATATAATAAAATAACTAATATAATATAACATAATATAGTATAATATAATATGATATGATATGATATAAAATGTCATGTTATGTTATATTGTATTGTATTATGTTTTATTATATTATATTATATCATATTATATTATATCATATTATATCATATTATATCATATTATATTATATTATATCATATTATATCATATCATATTATATATTATATTATATTATATTAAATTATATTATATTATATTATACTTTATTATATTATACTATATTATATTTTACTATATTATATTATATTATATTATATTATACTATATATATATGTATTTAATAGTATGTAACAATTATAATGGTAATAATCGCAATACAAACCATAATGATAATACTGATAGTCATAGCAATGATAGTAATAGTGATAATGATATCAATAAGAACACACATAAGATATACAGATGTCGTATGTGTATATACACACATCACATATGTCCATACGCGTACGGGGTGTCATCATTTGTCCATAAATGTTGGTCAGTCGGTTCATCTCCATCCCACCTGAGGTGTGGATACGATCAACTCAAATGAAGGCACCCGATCTCAATACGAGCTCCGTCCTCAGCTGCGCCATGTTTCCGGGAGTTTGTCCATCGAAACTGAGAAGAAATTTGGAGTGATGAATGAGCTTTGCACTAAAATTCACCATTGTTTTGAAAGAAAACGAACAACCAGATTCTAACCTCCATCATTGTAAATCCCCATTCTGAATGATGGTGTTTAATTCCAAATTATTCGGTGTTAAACTTCCGTATTTTGGGTGTTGAAATCACTGACTCTTGTTGGTCAAATGCCTACAATCTTTATTGGTGAAGTCCACCCAATAGTTCAATAGTTGAGGGTCCCTTTTTGGTGGTGACATCACTTATTTATCTTATTTTTGGTTTGCATCCATATTTTGGGTGATTAAGTCACTAATTTTTCCTGCAGCACGTGCGCTACGCCCCACAGGTACTTCACTATATACAGTTTCACACGTTTTTTTTAACCTTTTCCGTTTTTTTTTAAGGGTTTCTTTAGTGTTTTTTAGGGTTCAAAAAGGGTTTCTTTAGGTTTAATTTAGTTTTTTTTCCCAGGGTTTCCAAAGTTTTTTTTAAAGGGTTTATGTAAAGAGTGCTCCCCGCAGAGGGTCATCAAACACGTCTCTGGGTTCGCAAACCCAGAGACATCAAGTTATAACATCCCAACATGCGGAAGGCCACAAAGTACTGCAAAGGTCACCGAATATGAGGTGACAATCATCCCTCAAGATGTTGGGGCAGCACAAGTGGCCGTAAATAAAAAACTGGTGCCATGCTGACTTGTTGCTAGTTAAAAGACAAAAAATCGATTTTTTATTGCACTTTTTGGTCAGTTACACACTTCAGACAGTTTTTAAAGTTGACACAGTAAAATTGTTTAAGCGCCTTAAGCGCCAATGAATTTCCATTTTAACTATATCTACTTATACAATTTTTGGCGAGTCTTTTGTCCCCCAAATGTTTTTTTGGCATTTTTTTTCCACCCGGTATTCATCAGTAAACTCCTTCTTGATGCTGAAATCCTCATGATTTGGCTTGGCTTGGTCTCAGCATGATTCAGGTTTTTTTAATCCACATTTCTGTGACGGTTTCTGTGATGTTTTTTTAAAATCATATTTGACTGAGGGTTGCATTAAAACACAAAAACACCACATGTTTTTAAGGATCCATCCAATTTCTTGATGCTTATATAAACCCTGAAGCTGACCGGCGAAAGGGCGGAGCCTGAGCCAGAGGACTCCGTCGCTGCGGAGCCGAAGGCTGGGGATGGTTTATGGCATTGGGTTTACCACACATTTGTAGCGATAAATAGCGCTTGGTAGCCATTGAGTTCGCTGATTGAGCTATTTGAAATGGTGGTTGGTACCATTTTGGTCATTTCACAGTTAGCTGCTGAGTAGTTGAGATATAGCCCCAAACATACCCTCTGGTAATTGAACATATGGAACTAAATGTGGCTTCTAAGGGAAACTGCAGAAACCGACCCCATTGTGTGGGATTGCCAGATGGGTATGGGTTGAGTTATTGGGTACCCAAAAATGGGATGGTTTACGAGACTACAACAGTAGACCCAAATCGGTGGTTTTTGTTTGAGTCTCAAATTGACCAATACCCAAACAAACAAATGGATCCATAAATCTATGAATCAACGAATAGATAAATGAATGAAGGAACAAGTGAAGGCATACCAGCTAGATTCAGCTAGATGGATGAGTGGACAGACAGACTACTGCAGATAGCAAGACAGTTTCAGAAAGAAGTCGTGAACGTCGTGAACCATGGAGAGTCTCTGGAGCAAGCCTAGTCATCAAGCTGTAGAAGACAAAGGGAGCCCTCTGTGTTCCCAGGCTGATAGTACCATGATGAATCCCACTGAGGGGGAGGCGATCCGAGTCGCGTGTTGAATCTCGGGCAGTCACTGCTGGTATCCTGGTGAACTCCAAAGTATATAGCTGGTATAGGATTCTGCTGGATGCTCATGCTCCCCCAAATATGTTTTTTTTGTTTTTAATGGGGATATATATATACACATATATTATGGATTTATATGGCTTTACGGGTTTTAATCCATCCCCAGTTTTGTTGTCCAGTCCGGTGTGAAAAAGTTTCAGGTCAGGATTGCCTTGTACGACTACATTCCCGCTGAAGGGGAGGAGGCCTCCATTGTGCGTTGTCCAAGAGCATCGGATTTCACTACCATAGCTATTGAAAATGGCCATTTATAGTGGATTTACCCATTAAAAATGGTGATTTTCCATAGTTATGTTAGTTTACCAGAGGGTAAGTGCTGTGTGCCTCCCAGGCCCAGATAAAGATCAGCCAGAATGACTACATTAGAGTCTTTCAGGCGAGCCTGCACGATTGATTCTTCTTTGCGAGAGATGGAACCGTTTTTGAAAGCTGAACGGTGCCCACATAAAAAGCCGTTCTCCCAAGCAAGTTCTGATACACATTGATCATTGGAGGTTTCCGAGGTTTCCAAACGACTCAAGAAGCACAGCATATCATAAATTTCACATAAATTTCACATAATTTCACTTTCATATCTTTCATCATGTCAGAGCTACAGCTTGCCTCTTTCACCAGCAGCTTGCCTCTCCGCTTTTCTCTTTCTCCAGGTCACAGAGACGGGGTGGGCCGCTGGTGTTCGGCTGTGCTGGGGTCACCCAGTAGCGGCATTGGGATCGGCACACGTTGGGAAATCTGACAGTTTGGAGCTGTATTTTCTAGGTATTGCACTTCTTTTGTAGCATTTTTAAAGATATCCTGTTTTCAAAGGTGACCTTTTGACATTTGTTGCAGATTTCGCAGGAGAGTCCAGACATATAAGCCTTGAACCTACATGTCACCATCACATTTTCGTCCTGGAATCAGAGCAGCTCAACTCAACCCGACCTTCGTTACTTGCAGTGTCTGTTTCTCACTTCCGCGTGTCGGTTTGCTTCCCCACATTGGTAAAAAAACAAACAACGAGGACATTCGACATGCATTTTTTGGCATCCTGTTACTAAATTTAACTTGAGTTTCCATCAGAACTCTCGGCAGGCCGGAAAACAATGCAAGAGGAAGGGGATGCAGGATGGTTTCCAGCTGGCTATCTACAACCCTTGCAGGGCGTATACCCGGCTAGTTTGGACTTGATGGGTTGCTACTGATCCAGCTTGTGATTTGTATGGCAACTCCGGATTCTTTGTAGGGTTTCCCTTGGAACAATCCAGTTTTCAATGTCAGGCACAGTAAGACCCTGGCTGCTATTTTCGAAGGTCGCAAGTGCTGAGCAATGGTTTTCCTGGTGCTGGAACCATGGTTATTAATGGTGGTTTAACCAGTAAAATTGAGTTCTGAAACAGTAAGAAATGGATGGTTCTTCAGTCATGGGGGCCCCCAACATAGGAAGACAATTGAATCATTGGTTTTGGAGTCTACCTTTAGTATTGTTTCCCTAGGCCTGGGGGTAAGTTTCTTTGTTGTTTGCTTCTTGTGGCGAGGTTTCTGCACCCCTGGCCGGGGGGTGTGCAGGTTCCTTTTCCCACGTCAAGTCATTCCTTGCCCCTTGGGTAATGTTTGTCCAGGTTTGCTCCCTAAGGGGAGTGTCATCACTGGCAGTCTACCTTTTAAGAAACCCAAAGATGTGTATTGATTGGGTGACGACCCGACCCCTCACACTAGGGGTACATTGGGATTACTCATTACCAACTACTATCTATTTGCGAACTGTAAGCATCATGGCAGTACGTCATTGAGCTGATGCCAGTCCAATCCATTACTGCAGCTGTAGATTCCGTCAAAATGCCCATAGACAGTCGTATTCACTCAAACCATTCATTCTTTTTAAAACACACTTCCTGGGTGTTTAGTCCCAAAGATGATGCCAGAGTTCATGACTTTTTCGCTGGGCAGCCCATGAGGCGTGCTCTTCCTCGAATGGAGGAGTTTTCTGGAGCCCTTAAAGGTGAAGGAGTTGTTGATCTGGAAATCCATGGCATGGTTAGAGATGTGGACCTAACACTGTAGAAAAGTCAACATATAATAACATATAATATATATATATATATGTATATATGTACATATATATGTATGTATGTATATATATATATATATGTATATATATATGTATATATATATGTATATATATATGTATATATATATACATCTATAATGTTCTAATAGTGAACTATAATGGTACTGGTAGCATTGGGGATATACTGAGGATAGAATTCGGATGCGCACCAAACATAGATGTCAATGAAATCAACGAAACAGATGTCCTTTCGACCTGCTCACGTGCTATCGGTACTATCGGATTCATGTTGCTGACATGTCGACACGCGTATAATTTCACACCCCGTAGGATTCGTTAGGGGACTGTCCACTTGTGTATGGAGCTCAGTAACATGGTTATCATGGTTTTTTAGGCATCATACAAATCTGAATAGGCCACTAGAACCAATCCACAATGGGCTTTTGATGGTTTTTTGATAGCTCTTGGACGTTGCTGAAATGGATTTCCAGTGTTTTTAAATCTCGGGGTCTCTCAGATGTCCCTCGGCCTCCTGGAAGACCGTCTTGGCCATTTTCGGTGGTGCCACTGATCCCTTCCTAGGGCATTTTCAGGAGCTCCAGGATACGCCCTGTAGTTTTTTCTGGACTTCCAGTGACTTCCAGGCCACGAGTTGAGGTGTGAAAGAAGGCTTTCTTTGGGCTTTGGAAGAAGAAAATCCATGGCCAAAGCGGCAGACCTGGCTTCAGCAGCGCTTGCTGTTTGCCAATGATAGACCGTGGTGTTCCCGTCAGCAATGGCACCATTTCCATCCCCATGAACTCAGGATGCTCAAAAGTGAGGAAGTAACCACTGGACTCCAAAATTGACCATGTTTGATATTTGAACGTCCGTTTTTGGGGTATATAAATATCCCTAGATATTTTGAGCCATACCCACAAGGGACAGCTCCAGATGATTTGCATGCGTTCCACAACCCACAAGGGCAGTAGAGAGTATTGAAAGTTTCAGCCGAGATCTGTTTGCAGTCAGAGCCTTTCTGCATACCCTGAAACCTAAAACCATGCGCGCTTTCTCAAATTGTTGACAGATTGACACACCTCCAATCGTTTGGGATTGTCTTTTAAAGACAAAACTCAAAAGTTCACAAATATGTAGATGTAATTGGGTACAGTAGTTTCTCTAGCGGGAGATTGCTGACCAAAGCTTATAAATTCATGGAAACGCGTCTCACAGGCACGATACGAATCACAACCAGCCTGGATAAAACGGGTCGGCTCCGGGCATGGTTGGTGGCCGACCCTGGCAGCATTTTGTAGGCGGATCAGTCGGATTGCTACCCATCATTTCGTCAACGTTAAGAAAAAACGATGGACAGATCCACCATTTTATAGCTGGGTAAATCAACTATTTCTATGGGGGTAAACTAACATAACTATGGAACATCACCATTTTTAGTGGGTAAATCAACTATTTCTAGCTATTTCTATGGGCCATGGCTTTTTTACATAGCTATTTTGACATAACCAGAGGCTATGAAAAACAGATATCACCATGTACATTGCCCGTTTATCCAGGTGAGGTAGAAAAGTGCCAAAACTCTCACCAGAAGAGTCTTGCGCTCATGCGTGGAGTGCATGATTGACATTGGCGTTTCGGGGGAACCGCACTACTTGGATGATATTTGAAAATGATGAAAGAAGTTGAACGCATGTGTTATCACTCCCATAGCCTCCATTGTAAATATTGTAGGTGAAGTCCACCCAGGGATCAATACCTAGAAGTAGCAAATTAAGGAGAATGAACGTGACGAACATCCATCTCCAGCTAATTTTGAGGTGAACATTAGTGCTTCCTGTCAGTTGGAATACCCCTAGTGGGGGATGGTCATGAAAATCCTTTGGGGATTTAGCCATTGTATGGATTCACCTCATGAGATGATTAACGAATTATAGCCCATATGGAGGTTTCCTAAAATAGGGGTCCCCAAAAATCATAAAAAATCCATGAGGGTTTTCCATGAAATAAACCATCCAGCTATTGGGGTAACCCCATTTATGGAAACCCCTATATACTGACTCGCAATGACTCTGAATCTTTGAGAATCTTCCTGGCCCCTGACATGTCTGGGCGATGGCATACAGCTGCGCTTTGCCAAAGTGGAAAGTTGGGACAGGTTGACTCGGCACTGCTCAATTCCACAGCAGGATGCCTCCGGCCAAAGCATACACATACTGCAAGTGGCAGTCAACCTTCCATAAATTAGTGAGATAATAGAAGAATTATTGTCATGATGAATAGCATTATGATATTATTATGATACTAAGATACCAAGTGGTTCAATTTTCACTAATACCATTGATTCCGCTTAAACAGATTCAGCAATGCCTGAACGACGCAGTGCTGCTATGATTCTCTGAGCCCGTTTCGCTGCCTCTCCAGAGTGGTTCCTTGGCCGCCAGCCATGCCGGCCTCTTGAAAATCCATGAAAATCCAATAAGAACAACAAACAACATGACAAAAGGAAACACCTCCCTGAAACCTTTGAACTCTTTAGACCTGAGATTTGGCACGGCCCGCACGGCAGTCGACTAAACCAAAAAATCGGCTGAGCCGGGGAGGCGCCAGTCAAATGCCAAAGTACCTCCGAACCTGAGTTTCTTTCGTGAGGAGCGTGCCAACATGTGCCATCGAATGGCTCCGTGCCAAAAGATCCAACGAAGTGCGATTGACGCTGTTTGTCCCATGTGAGATGAGTGGTCAGCTTTTCAGAAGGTCACATGAGTGAAGGTTATGACTTGGTTGAACTCCTTGGTTTTGAGTTTTCTGTGTGGTTTTATCTCACGGTCAAGAGGTCCGGAATCCTCAGGGTTTCCCGCAGCGCTAGACCAAGCCACGTCCCTCGTTGCCAAGCCGTGGGTTGTCTTCCGTGTTGCCGCGTCGTTCTGTGCCCCAGTGAAGATAGGGCTGCTGTGATGGCAGTGATGGCAGTGATGGCAGTGATGGCAGTGATGGCAGTGATGGTGCCGTTTTGGTGTTGGCAGTCTTGTCGTGTGATGTCAGGTACAGTGTAGTGCTAGCTGCACGTCAGGATGTCGGGAGCCCCAGGCCTTTCTTCAATGATCAGATGACCCCCAAGTTGATCGTTATCTCTCCATCGTTTTCCCATTAAACATATCCCATTTTGGAGCCATGGTATCTGTCCGCCGTCTGAACTCGAGATCCTTCAACTGAGCCACGATGCTACAAGTCTAGTTGCACATGCCATAGGCTGTATAAACATATTATCATATGCAATCATGTAAACTATATCATATATGTAATTTTGGATATTATATATACACACATTATATATATATATATATCTACAATATTATATATAGATATATTAGATTGGCACATACAGACAGATATATGTATACACCTGATTTGTAGATGGTATCTTCCAATCTTGCGAGCAAATTCGACTTATGCTGATGGAACAAAGTCAGTTGAGGGTAGAACATTGCTGAGAAGTGTAGAGAGACAGACTAGCTTCCTCTTTCGTAGCCATGCCAGAAGAGGACCAGATGGGTTGCTGGGTCAGCTGCTTCCAACATCAGAGTCAAGTCATTGGGTCTCAAAAATACTGGATCATTGATGTATGTTCCTACAAGTAGCTAGTACATCTGTGTGTTTCTCAAAATTGGGGCCCAAATGCGAAAAAGCACGGATTTCCGCTCTAAAAACATAAGCAACAAGCAAAAACAATACTGGTTTCCCAATACAAAATGCATGAACTTAGATTATAACATGGGGGCCCCAAATCTGTGGTCTTCTGGGGGCCCAGCTAGTCCCGATTCCGCAGAAGGACATCCTTGTGCTAAAGGACGCCATCCAGAGCTTGGCTGCGAGGTGACATGGGTCAGATGGCTCCATACATGAGGCAAATTTCGCTGCAATTCATGGCAATTATGCCCCAACCATTGCCATTTTATATCGATTTTTTACCCGACCGAATTTTGAGGTAGCCCATTTTCAGAGATAGATAGATAGATAGATAGATAGATAGATAGATAGATAGATAGATAGATAGATATGTATATATATATATATATTTGTATAGAAATATATAGAAATAGGTACGTCTCTGTATAACCTCCGATCGGTGGATCAAGGGAAACGCCAAACTTTCGGGGTTGATAAGATCTTCATAGGGTTACATATAGGGTGCTGTGGATGAAGCATGTTGGGTCATGTTGTATCTTGGATTGATACCTTGGAAAAAAATCCCACCTAAACAACCTAAACAGATGGCAGTTGGAAGATGGTGAGCATTCCATTCGGCCAAAACTTGGGCCACTCCAGCCAGGCTTGAAGAGGTTGCAAAGTCCACGAAGTCAGTGGCGGAGGACTGGCGACAAAGTTCCAGAAAGATGTTCTTCTCATTTTCTCGATTTGGTAAGGACACCAAAACGACCCCTGGACTTTGCAGATTGAATTTACATAGCAGCTTATTACTATATAATAATAATAATAACAATAATAATAATAATAACAATAATAATAATAATAATTAATAATAATAATAATATATATATATATACATATATATATATATATTATACACACATATATATATATGTCATGTCTGTATTTTTTCCTCTCAACCAGAAACAAGTGACAACAGGAAGATGCCCACAACATGACACATCCCAGGCCAAGCAGAGCTGTCGTGAGTTGGCTCGAGATTTGGATGTTTTGGCCAATGGCGGCTGGATGCCTAGAGCTGGGAGTTTTCTGTACCCCAGTTGGAGTCCGGTTTCAAGGATCAGCGCAGTTCTTCAGTTTTTTTTGATTCTACATATATATATATATCATATATGATACAGTTTAAATACATAACTATGCAGAATGTGTGTGGAACTGATTATGATTATGATTGATGTGATATTTCACACTACTGTACATTTCCGTGCACCAAAAATATGTCGATCTCGCCATCACTGTCAGGTGCCGCCGCATCGCAGAGCCAACTTTTGTCGCGGAGGATGCAGCGGCAACCGGCGAACCCGTTTTTGGAGCTGCTGCCGCTGATGACCGACGCGGAGAACTCGGTCTTGTGCAAAGGAGCAGCTCGGCACCACCGAGGGGCCGCTTTCAGGAAAACAGGGTAGGGCAACACCACAAAGGCGTTTGATTAATGTTGAGATCAAATGGAATGGTTTAGATCATTTTCTAAGACTAGAAATTGAAACTGGGTATCCACCAGCTTCCGACATGTTACTCCATAGAATGTGGCTAGATATAGCCACCATAACAACTTATCCAGGGGGGTTGTAACATAACATATTGTAACCTAGGTTGATGGTTTGAGAGATGATTGTTTTTCCGTCCTGGGATGATGATCATCGTTGACTTCCATATGTTTGGGATGGGTTGAAACCATCAACAGTCATCAACACAAAATGGATTGGGCTGGGTCATCACAGGCAAAAAGGAACGAGTTGCCCTGCAGAAACCGAGTCTCACAAGGCTTAGTTGGCCTACATGTTGTGGGCCACTCTTTTGGTACTAGAGCAGCAGGTAGTGATTGCGGTCTTGACCAAATTGCGGATCAAGTTGCGAGAGATTCTTTGCCTTGACTGTGCCTAGGTACCACCAGAGGACACCCTGCCATTGCACTCAATGAGCTTGAACGTGAAAGACCCAGAAGGTGTACAGAGCCTTGTTTCAATCAGGGGAGCCACCTTGAGCCATCAGCGGCGAAGTGACAAGAAAACATGGGGGCTGAAGCTGGCTTGGAAATCCTTTTGAAGCCCACACATGTCATCAAAACTTGAATATCCTTTCACACTGATCCAATATGACCATTTCATTATTCCCGGCTCTCCGCAATCGATCGTGTCCGAACAAATCATTAACACATCAATTTCAGTTGATTTGGGTTTGTCTGAAAATAGGGTACCCAAAAATCCCATAGCTTGTCATGATGTTCCCTATTAAATAACCATCATTGGGGAGGATACCCCAATTTCCAGACACAGCCATTTGCAGCAACGACTTGTGCGGGTGGCACAGGACTGTGGAGATTGATGAAGCTGCAACTCTGCTGGCGCAGCGGTATCCACAGTTTGCCAGAGGGCAAGTGAGACTTGAACGAAGATCTTTTTCAAACACAAACAAAGTCTACAACAGCCAGATGTCACCGCTGGTCCCGTTCAGATGTAGATGAGTTGAGGCTTCTTGTGGCGTTTCTTGATTTTTCTAGTGTATCAACTCTGAGAAAGCCTTGCATCTTTACATATCTTGAACACAGACTGAGGATGGAAATCCTGCATGCCCATACACGGACAGTTCCGTGGCGACTCACTCTTGGGCTTTTGCCGCATCAACCGGGGCCAAATGCCCCAGAAAATGCCCCATGGAAAATCAATCATCCTCCCATGTTTTGACCCACACATGGAAGAGGGTACAGGTCAATCTTGGCTACTGCCAGACTCTCAGCATTGAAGGGTTGATAGACATGAGATGACATGAGCAACTGACAGGATTCTTGCATTTCTGCTTGAACTACCCTTTGGTAATCACACATGACAATGGAAAATCCCTCATTTAGTTCGATGATTTTCCCACTTAAACGTGCATAAATAGATCGTGAATTTCCCAGCTAGCCACGTTGTACGGGAGGGTATATTGACAATCACCAGATTTCACCGGTGTTTCATACATTGAGGTTCTGAAACCCGCGGGCGATTGGTCCATTGCGATGAGTGCTGGAAGTATGTCTGCTTTAGATCATGCCATCGGCATGTTTTTGAACCCTGGTGAAGCTTGGCGGAAAACCATGACAAACGACATGGAATGCTGTCGACATGGATGCAACATGATGGAACCTTGGATCCCTTGGTGCAGCGTTCAGGATACCATCTTGATGGAAGAGCAACTTGTCACTCAATGGCAGACCGCTTGGTGCGACTTGTGCAATTGTGTATTCAAATGCACGCCTTTTAGACTGTTCTGCGATTTGTCTTTATTTCGAATTGAGCTTTGATAGTGGGGTTTCTAAGCATTTTCTTTGCGACTTGCAGTTTCACTGAATTTCACTGACCTTGGATTTTCAGAAATCTTTGACTCTCCGCTGCAGTAGGACTAAAACTGAGCTTACTAAGGTACACATTCCTAGCTATGGTCGATGCTTGCATGGCTGCTGGACTGTCCTGGGCTCAGTACGAGCCTTCGAGCGAGCACTGAAGTCCAACGTATTCTCCAACAAGACCAACAAGATGTGGGTCTACCCCCAACTAGGAATGAAGATCACAAAATCAGATGGTTAATGATGGTCATTTAAAGTTATTTATAACATGTTCTTATTCACCAAACTCACCAAAGTGGCGAAATTGGTGATTTTGTTCGCCAGGGACTTGAGGAAACCTTGGATGCGAACGCGTGAGAAGAACACAATGCCAATGCTTCCCTAACTGTTTCCTGCAATACCCACTGGTATTTTCACGTAGCTATAGCCATATATATATAATATAAATAGTTGATTTAGCCATCAAAAATGGTTATTTCCCATAGCTTTATTTTTTGTATGTTTACCAGAGGGTAAATCCAGCTGCCGCCAGGAACCTGGTGCCAGTGCCTTGTGATGATGATGGAATCCTACCGTCCGAGTTGGCACCCTTGCTGCCTGGGGCCAAGGTGCTGCAGCCTGGCGACGGATCCAGAGCCAATCCCAGCGATCACTGTGATCGCTGGGATTTTTCTCGAATGAAATGAAATGACATGACATGACATGACATGAATTTTCATGATGCAGAAAAAATGGGACGTCATCTCAAAAAAATCTCTTCTGCAATTCTCCCCAAAACATATGGATCAGCGTATGATCAGCGTACGATGGCTGTCGTGGTTTTCTAAGGTACACCGTCCCAGTGGGCCACAATCCGCTGGGCACCCGAATGGCGCCTGAACGATATCAACAGGTCTATGACCTCTGCACCTTGGACGGTGACGATGATCACCGGCTGGGCTGCCCTTTTGCTGGCTGAAAAATGGCTGAAATCCCAAAGTCATTGGATTGGTTTAAGGGAAAATCTACAGGAAACCATGGTTTTTACCATTAAATATGGGGCTTTCCTGTAAATTTTCCCTTAAACCAATCCAATGACAAAGAATTCCCAGTTTTGCTGAAGAATAGTTGGCATCCTCGATGTTTGTGGTGATCATATGTTATCATCGGATAGGACGCTCCTGTTATCTATGGTTCATCATTCACGGCAGCGCCCATATAGATGGGGTGCTGGGGTTGAACAACGTGTTGTGATTGTAGCAATGAGGTTGAATCACTTGGGTGGATGGGTGGGTCAGTGTGGTTGCTGTGGCCATTTTGCGCTCAAGCATCCACACACAACCCACCAGGAATTTGAAACTGGTACCCACCCGACGCGTCATTGCGGTGGGGGACCTGGTGGGGTGGTGTAGTGAGTGCACCAATTGGTACCAGCAAGTGAAGAGGGTACTGTGACAGTAGCAGCATCTCATTGCGCCATAGTGCTGCTGGTGGTGTGCTGCCTCTTAGCACCATTGACGTGGTGCTGCAGCTGCATCTGCAGGAGGAAGACCTGGGAGGTGATCACATTGCCCAGTGGTCAGAGGATCACACTCAATGGACCCAACAGAGGATGAGCAGAAGGCTATGGACACCATGGCCGAGGTCTTCAAGTGGGTTGGGTTGAGTGAGACGGAAATGGGTGATGAGACAAAACTCTCAGGCTCCTTGGCAAAGTTGCTTGGTGCAGCAGACATCACCAAGCCTGTCACCATTGGAGTCGTTTCGGAGGCTGACTATGAGGCAGTGATCTCAAAGTGGAAAGTGCCAGATGCTCCTGCGGCCAGGCACCCAACTCTGACTGAAATGGGTACGGCCAAATTGGTTGGGCATGTTTGCAGAGTTTTAGCAGGCTCTGGTGAATCTTTGGAGATGCTGAAGAAGAGGGCCAGCGCACCAGCACCAGCGTTGCCCTCAGCACCAGCTGTGACGTCAGCTGCAGCACAGAGGAAAATTAAGCTGAGCTCCATCATTTCACAGGTGGACGACACAGAAATCCTGATGGCAGAAGAGAAAGAAGTCTTGAAAGCCTTCGCAAGATACGAAGTGGTGTATGGAAAAGGTGACAGACCACCAAACGGCACAGAGCCGACTGCAGAGCAGTTGACCGCAGTGAAACACCTGATTGATTCAGGCTGCTGTCCTTACGCTGACTTTTCCATCTTCGGTCCATATGGACAGAGGATTTACAAGAAGGTGAAACTCAGTGGCTATCAGATTTCCCGTGATGGACAGCTCTCCACAGTGGAACTGCATGGACCTTCAAACATCTCGCAGTGGATCGGTTGCTACACTGTCCTGCAAAACATTCTTGTGATGTTGGATGCAGGCGACCTAGGTCATTTGCTGCGATACAGGACGATGATCGAGAAGTTCCACGACAAGTATGGTGAGCGAGTATGGTCCGTCATATACCAAGGAGATGTTAGAGCCAGGTTGGAGAACATGCCACGCCTGAAGCGCATGGCCCAAGCAGCTCACGACAAGGCGACCTCCTCGGGTGGCACCACAGACTTTGATCCAGCCAGGCCATGGAACTATGTCTGGTTCAAGGCGACAGAAGACCTTGAATTCTGGCGTGAGGAAGTTGTGGACCCATCCTTCTTGATCCTCACGAAGATTGCCCCAAAGGAAGATATGCTCCAAGGTGACGCGGTTACAGGTGTTGCCAAGGGAGGCCCCAGAGAGTCAGCACCAACTCCATCGAGAATGGGCATACAAAGTAACGCCTCAGTCCGTCCCAGGAACTCCAGCAGATCGGGGCGACTCAACAATGTTGAAGATGGGAAGTACACCACAAACCGCACTGGCTACAAAATCTGCACTGGGTACAACGATGGCAAGTGCACAGAGGCCAGTCAAGGTATTTGGTGCACGCAGTCATGGGACACAGTGCACCAGTGCAGCCGGTGCCTTGGGAGCCACCCTCAGATTCAGTGCACTCACAAGGAGATGCCGAAGCCATCCTTCCTCAAGTCCATGGGCAAAGGAAAAGGAAAGGGAGGAAGAAAAGGAAAGGGCGCTAGAGCGCCTTACTGAGGGGAAGAGCAATCAGTGCATGTGACGGAAGATCAGTTGCCTGACAAGGCAATTGAGAGGCCGAGGAGTTCAGCGGCACCCACACCAACGGCACAGGGTGTGGGGAGCAGCAAAATACTTTACCTTTTCAGTGGTCCGCCACGGCCAGATGATGGGCTTGGCAAGTTCTTGGACGAGCTGGGCATTGAATGTGTCTGCGTGGATCTTGAGGTTAATGAACTGCATGACCTTCTAGACCAAGATGTTTGGGAGGGAGTTTCACAAGACTTGCCAATGTACGACGGCTTCATGTTGTCGCCACCTTGTTGCACCTTTTCTATGGCAAGAGGTGGAAAGGGCGGGCCACAGCCACTCAGAGCAGCTGAGGGGAAGGAGATCTATGGTCTCAAGACTTTGAAAGCAGAAGACAAGAAACGAGCCCACGAGGGAAATGTTTTGGCATCGAGAGCACAGTCAACAGCTTCTCATGCCACACGTCGCAAGAAACCTTGGATTCTGGAGCAGCCCCATGAACGAGAGGGGAAGCCTTCCATGTTCAAGCTTGATGAGTTCAGGGAGCTTGAGAAAGAGCAAGACGTGCGACGGGCCACCTTTGACCAATGCCGTTTCGGATGCGAGTTTGAAAAGAAGACTGATGTGCTTGCCAATTTTGATTTAGGGCCGGAGTTCCACCAACTTTGCAACCATCCACCCAAATGGTGGAGGGTTCCATGGAGTGGGGAATGGGTTTGGGCTTCACACCCGCCATTAAGGGGTAAGCAAGTTGCTGTTGAAGCACACATGTGGAACCCTGGGATGCTCAGGACATCGGAGCCCCAGGGGGACTACATCACCAGGCGGGCGGCTGCGTACCCTGCGGATCTCAACAGGGCACTAGCTAGAGCTTTGGGAAACGCAGTGAAAGTGGCTGCGAGGAAGGAAGTTCCAAATAACGTAGCCAAGCCAAAGTTTGAGGTTGACCCCAAACCTGTTATGGCCCTAAAATTTGGTAAGCCACAGAATGTCGAAACCCAGGTAGACGACAGAAATAGTCTGAGGAATGTTTCAAACTGGGTGAATGACAAAATGAAGTTCATAGGGGTTCAAGTCAGAAACATCATTGAGGATTCCTTGTCTCAGAATCCAGACGTGGAGAACTGCATGTGGGAGAACATCACGCAGCATCAGAAACCAGAAGATGTTCATATCCCGGAACCCTGGATGGATCATGTCAGATCCAGGGTCATCGATCTGTTCTTTCGCAACGATGGCAGCATTGTTGTTAAGCAACTGGCTGAACCGCAGACTGGGGACTATGAGACTAAGATCATGGGCAGCCTCCTTCACGCATGGGCTTGTATTGTTGGTGACCCAGGTGCAAGAGCTACGAGATGGATATTTGAAGGAGCACCGGCAGGGTTGGAAATGAGTTCAAAGGACCTAGATGGCATGTTTCCCAGTGTCGAAGATGATGAACTGGAACTGGATGATATTAACCTGGATACTGACTTCGGTTCATTTACAAACTACACTGGTGTTGAAGAGGACAATGAAGCATTTGATGCGCTCGAGTCATACTACGAGAAGGGTTCATGTTGAAATTTCGTACACTGGATGATGTTGAACGGCATCTGGGATGTAAACCAACCTTGTCTAAACTGGGATGCATTAAGAAGATGAAGTATAACCCTGACACAGACCAGTACACCTATAAGGCCAGGATCATATTGGATTGCAAGCGCTCTGGAGTGTCGAAGCGGGCACAACGTACGCACAAAAGTGTACTTCCCAGGGCCACCGATGCAATCTTGTCGGTCTCGCACTTGATGGCGCAGAAACAATCTGGTCAGGATATACAGCTCTTCATTGCCGATATTGTCGATGCCTTCTGGCTCATTCCTCTTCACGTTTCGGAGAGGAGGTACTTCTGTGCACACTTGCGCGGGCAGTACTACTTGTTCACTAGAACGGCCCAAGGGTCACGCATGGCACCACTGACATTTGCTGCAATCATGTCGGTGGCTTCCAGATGGGTGCAGAGCCTGAGCAACGAGTACGCCATGCAGGTTTATGTTGACGACCCATTGGTGGCAATTCTGGCAGAGCCGCAACGTACCAAGCGGCTGGCATGCGTTATTGCGTCCGCATGGATGATCATGGGTTTTCCTTTGGCATTCCACAAGGCAACTCTGGCACCACAACTAGTATGGATTGGGGTGCAGCTTGAAGTGAAGGATGACACAGTAGTGGCGGAAATTCCAGCATCAAAGGTTTCGGAACTCATCAAACTCTTGAAGGACACCCTTGGCAGCAACTTGGTGTCCATCAAGTCTTTGCGGTCTCTTACAGGCAAGCTCACCTCTGTCGCATCAGTCATTCAGGTGTGGAGACCATTTGTGCAGCAGCTGTACAAGGCCATGCATGTCGTGAACACCAAAGCTCCCAAAGGCTGTGTCTGGGTCAAACAGATACAGCATACAGTGTCATGGCTTCTCACCTTCTTGGCTGGAGAACAGCTGGGCATTAGACGAGAGTTCACTCTGGACGCGTATCTTCGCAAAGGACCAGTTGTTGTCATCACATGGGATGCAAGCCCATATGGCATGGGGGCTACATTACAAATCAGCGGTGCCTTTGTCTCTTTCTTTGCGAACCTTGGAAGATCAGGAGGCCCTGCAGACGCAGTCAGGTGACTGTCGTGGACAGCAAGTATGGGAGGCATTAGCTGGTTTAGTTGCCTTGAGAACGTGGTCACCATACTGGCAGCACTTTCCAGTGGTCCTGCAAGTGCGCAATGACAACGTTGGAGCCCTTACCTTGTTTTCGACGTTGAAAGGAGGTTCAACTGCTCTCTCAGTCATCGCTCGAGAGTTCGCGCTAGACCTGGGAGAGGCCACATGCAGACCTGCATTGATTCAGCACTTGCCGGGCATCACCAACAAGACGTGTGATGCATTATCTCGAAGATTTGATCCTCACTATACTTTCGAACTGCCGAGATGCTTGCTGCATGCAAAGCCAATTGTTCCACCTACTCGAGACTCGAGACGAAACCTGGTGGAGAAGTTTACAGGTCACCGTTCCGAGCTCTTCATCGGCACCGCCATTGGCAGACTCAAAGGGAATCAGATCTCGTTCCCCAAGACGCTAGTGACCCTCTGCTGCATAAAAAGATATAAAGAGTTGACTGGTTTGATGCTGCACTGCTTTTCTGTGTCGACTGATTTGACACTGCACTGCATTTTGTTTCATTCCTTGTTTGCTTCTTGTGATGTCGTGATTTGAGGGTTCAGTTGGATGTGCGTGAGGTCATAGGTTTTAGGTTTTCGTTGTGCACTTGATTAACCTTGGTTGATACCTCTTGGGTATCACTTGATTCATTCATTTAAATCACAAACATTTTAAGTTCAAAATGCTTTCAAAACCATCCTGGGGTAAGAAGAAAGGCAGCACACCCTTTCAGCTGCCAAGATGACATCGAGGGTTGGCTGAGGAAGGTCAATAGTTCCTCAGCAGGCCAAAGGGCTGTAGAACAAAAGGCTGGGTGCAACATTTCTGCTGGCTCTTGGTCGGCAGAGCACCCAGCCAAGCGGCCATCGACCCTCGATCATAGTGGAACCCAGGAAAAGAGAAAGCGTCATGACATGCCTGTTGTTAGAAAGATAGACAGGGCAGCCATGGCCACTGCGCAAGAAAAGATCTCCACTGGAACAGGTAGACGTGATGCACTGGACGCGTTAGTCAATGACTTTTATGCCTCTTCAAGTCAAGCACCTAGAACTTCTCAATTGAAAACGTGGGAAAGATATCATGCCACTTGGTATGGTGATCAGGTCCCTGTTTGGCCACTGTCGGAGCAGAGTTTGGTCAGAGTTTCGGCACTTTTCAAATTGGGAGGGTACAAGTCGTTCAAGAATTATCTTTCTCGAGCAAAAGATCATCACATCTCCCTGGGCTTTGAGTGGTCTGACAAACTGGATGCCGTGGCCAGAAAATGTTCAGGTCGGTCCTGAGAGGATTAGCTGGATCCACGAGGTCAATGGACTTTGACTTAGTCAGGATATCGTCCCATCTCCCTCATGGATCCTATGCCCTGGACGAATGTGGGCCAGCTCATCCGAAAGCTATGTTTGTGACCGCAACTCTCTTCCTGTTGAGAGAACTGGAAGCTTCGGCCTTAGACCTGGAGGACGTAGTCTTTGATGACGCCAAAGTAACACTCCATTTGCCAGTGTCGAAGACAGACTGGCAGGCAAAGGGATGCTCCAGGTCGTGGGCATGTGTTTGCGACACCCAACTGCCTTGTGTTTATCATACCCTGAAACAGCACATGGTGGAAGTGAACAACTTCTATTGCAATCTGGGCATGAGACCGGTAGACAAACCGTTGTTCCCAACTACTCTGGGGGGATACTGCACAAAACAAGGCGTGGTTAACACACTGAGAGCTGCAGTAGATCAATCTGGAGGAAATGCTACGAAAGGCGATGGATCTTCAGCGTACAGTGGTCATGCATTTCGCATCACTGGGGCCAGACTATTGGCCAGGTCAGGTCTTGACTGTATCACGATACAGTTGCTGGGTAGATGGGGCAGCAACCTATCCTGTCATACCTGGCAGAGTCGCCACTGGACGGGTTTGCGGACCGCTTGCGTCATGGACTCTCAGACAAGAAACTGGACAAATGGGTATCTGCTGACAATTCGCCAGCCTTTAGGGAAGCCGACCAACTGGTCTACGTGCAAGACATGATGGCAGAATTAAAACAGTCCAAGGACAAAGTTAATCAGTTGGAATCCCAGCTGAACAACCTTGCAATCCAGATGGAAGACACCTCTCAAATCCTGGAAGGCGTTGAGCTGACATTTGGCACGAAGTCTGGAGTAGAAAACTGGATGGTCGACAATGGACAATCCAAAGTGAGACACAGGTCCATAGTGGATCTGTCTACGCCACCTGCAACATGGAAAACTCTTTGCGGATGGAACTTTTCTTCAAAGGCACACGCCACTACGTCCAGGTCAGTCTCAGAACAGACTGACCTTAGATTGTGCCCTAGATGCTTCCCAAGTGATTCTGACCACTCCTCATCCTCCTCCTATAGCAGCTCTGAAGATTAGCTGCAGAGAGATTGGGGGTTCACATGGAACCCAATCTTCAGACACCCAAACTCAGATTTGGGGGGTGATACCCATGTAAAGATGTGGGTAACAAAAGCGCAGTGTTTCAAATTCACCGGCAGCCCTATAGGTGAGAAAACACTGCTGGGAGGGAGGGATGGAGTGTTGATGAAACCGATTGCTGGGTTGAACAACGTGTTGTGATTGTAGCAATGAGGTTGAATCACTTGGGTGGATGGGTGGGTCAGTGTGGTTGCTGTGGCCATTTTGCGCTCAAGCATCCACACACAACCCACCAGGAATTTGAAACCCACCCATCCCAAGCATTGCTTTTCCCTACTGCGCAGAGAGACTGGGGGTTCACATGGAACCCAATCTTCAGACACCCAAACTCAGATTTGGGGGGTGATACCCATGTAAAGATGTGGGTAACAAAAGCGCAGTGTTTCAAATTCACCGGCAGCCCTATAGGTGAGAAAACACTGCTGGGAGGGAGGGATGGAGTGTTGATGAAACCGATTGCTGCGGAACACAAAGCTCGGTGGCGATGCTAAGCCGCTAAGCCATGGGAAGATCATGATGTTTTGAGATCTTTTGATGATCTAACAGTCTGCATTTTTCTTGAACATGTGGATTTTTGTGTTTGTTCGATTGGGTTCTCAAAGCCAATGATCGATTGGAAATTGTTTGTGGTGACCGAACCCTGGCGGACCTCATCCCAGATAATGTCTAGATAGAATATATAGATAGAATCCATGGTTTTCAGAAACGACCTATCCGGAAATGGTGGAAACCATGGATTCAATTCCATCTATAATTATCATGAATTATCATGAACTATCTATAGAAACCATGATAGGACTTCCACTTTAGTGGTGGCACCAGGCGCTGCTCATGGAGTGACGATCGTGGAAGATGATGCGACACTTGGTCGGAGTTTTCGCAGCGATGTGGAGTACCCGACATGGTCATTTAACATTGCTATGAAAACAGCTATATAAAATATGGGCCGTTTACAGATGATCATCAGATGATAAAACCGGATGTACCTCTTAAAGATGGTGACTTTCCATAGCTACGTTAGTTTGAAGGTAAAAACTACAAACATTATCAAACATTGGGACGCTGGTTGGAACCACGCACTTGCGCTACCGGAGCAGGCTTTTCCATTGAAGGGAAGACAATCTAGATTGCCGGCTATTAATTGATGTGAACTACAGGGAAACAGTGTAAACTGGCGCAGAAACCATCTACATCACTACATCATTACATCATTACATCATTATAATTCAATACACACACACATATTGAAATAAACAAATATACATATATATAGTATATATGCACACTATAATTAGATATATATGTATAAATATCGCATATAGTATACTAGAACATATAATATATATATATGTCTATCAGTCTGTCTATTTGTCTATCTATTTGTCTATCTATCTGTCTATCTATCTGTCTATCTGTCTATCTATCTGTCTATGTATCTGTCTATCTATCTGTCTATCTATCTGTCTCTGTATCTGTCTTTCTGTCTATCTACCTGTCTATCTATCTGTCCATCTGTATGTATCTATCTACAATCTACATGTCTGTATCTATCTATCTATCTATCTCTATCTCTATCTCTATCTCTATCTATCTCTATCTCTATCTCTATCCCTATCTCTATCTCTATCTCTATCTCTATCTCTATCTATCTATCTCTCTATCTATCTATATCTATCTATATCTATATGTATCTATATGTATCTATATGTATCTATATGTATCTATATGTATCTGTATGTATCTATAAGTATCTTTATGTATCTATATGTATCTATATGTATCTATTTGTATCTATATGTATTTATATGTATCTATATGTATCTATATGTATCTATATGTATCTATATCTATATGTATATCTATATGTATATCTATATGTATATCTACACCTTTATTTATATCTAACTATATCTATCTATATCTATCTTTATCTATCTATATCTATGTATATCTATGTATATCTATCTATATCTATCTCTATTTGTTTCTATCTATCGCTATCTATCGCTATCTATCTCTATCTATCTCTTTCTATCTCTATCTATCTCTATCTATCTCTATCTATCTCTATCTATCTCTATCTATCTCTACCTATCTCTTTCTATCTCTATCTATCTCTATCTATCTCTATCTATCTCTATCTATCTCTTTCTATCTCTATCTATCTCTATCTATCTCTATCTATCTCTATCTATCTCTATCTCTATCTCTATCTCTATCTCTATCTATCTACATCTATCTATATGTATCTATATCTATCTATATCTATTTGTATCTATATGTATCTATATGTATCTATATGTATCTATATGTATCTATATGTATCTAAATGCATCTATATGTATCTATATGTATCTATATGTATCTATATGTATTATATCTATCTATATCTATCTATATCTATCTATATCTATCTATATCTATCTATATCTATCTATATCTATCTATATCTATCTATATCTATCTATATCTATCTATCTATCTATATCTATCTATATCTATCTATATCTATCTATATCTATCTATATCTATCTATATCTATCTATATCTATCTATATCTATCCATCTATCTACCTATCTACCGATCTATCGATCAATCGATCTATCTATCTGTCTATCTATCTGTCTGTCTGTTTGTCTGTCCTCTGTCCGTCTGTCTGATTGTCTATTATCTATCTATCTATCTATCTACCTACCTATCTATCTATCTACCTATCTATCTATCTATCTATAAACTTTATGGTGTTTTTAGAGATTCTCGGGCATGGCGAGGTGTTTGCCAGTATAATATATATATATAGTATATTATTTTGTATGTTTATATAGAGAGAGGGTCCTTCATGATCTCTGAGGTATTACTACCAGCAGCACAACTCAAACGATGAAAAAGCGGATGATGATGCCTCTGCTGTGGCTGGACTGGAACTGGGAATGAACTTCGTTTCCATTGATCGCCAAGGCTGAGAACGTCAGAAATCTGGGCGATTTTTCTTGGGAATTTATTGGGATTTTACTGGAACTTTCATGGGATTCAATGAGATTTAATGTTTTAAGATACCTGTTGATTGATTTTGTTTGAGGTCTTACTGTTCCTTTTATGGTAGAGATGATCACAATCTATGAACTGGGAAATGGAGACGTAGACTACATAGACCAACAACTTTTGGTCATTTTCAGTATGCATATTAATTCTTGAGGGCATCTATACCCAATTTCGATCCATTCCGATGCAGCACTCTTTCACAGTAGCTTTCCTCGTGGGTGGATTGGCTGGATCTCAGGATTGGCTGAATCCGATAAGCACCATAATTATAAACCAGTTTTATGTGGGTAAGACATGGTAAAACAACAAATAAACCATCCCCCGCATCACCATAAATAGCTGGTATATGGTATGAACCATTCCCCAATGGTTGATGATTGTTTTACCCACATGAATTCCACATATCTTTGTTGGTTGACTCATTCGACGTACCAAAGCCTTTCTGCGAGGCCTCGTCTTCCGCTTGGACACCGTCTCCAAACTTCTGTCACCAGGTTTCCGTTTGGGCTGGGTGACTGGCCCCAAGCACTTCATCAAGGCGTGGCCCGAGCAAAATGACCATCCAAAACGAGCAGTGGATCAGCGAAAAATTGAACATCAAAAATGAACAAGAACTGAACATCCAGTCCTCAGTTATCTTAGTTATTCTTAGTTCATACCCTAAATGGATCTTTCAACATTTTGTTTGTGTGTGTTTGTTGGCGGAATGATCAACATTGAACACCCAATGCAACCAGGCAGGTTGCAGGGTGAATCGCCTGCACATTGGAGTCGGCCACATCTTCAAGTTGAACTTTGTGCGAGCAACGGACCTCCAATCTTTGGACATCTTGAGCATTGTACAAATGACAAAACCATCCATTTTGTGCATGGCAGATTCGAATAGATTTGAGCCATACCCAACTCTCCCAACATCTCCCAACCCTAAGAAAAACCACAGAGGGATGCAAATTGGATGCGTCGTTTCAACGTCGGTGAGGCCTTTGAGGATTTGTGCTATGTAAGCAGCCAGTCGGGATGTTCAATGTCAATGATTTGCCTTGGAAAGCTATTGGCCCACTGGAAGACTGATGGCTTACAGGCACGGTTGGAAGATGTTGGAAGAAGGCTCATGGACACCAAGCTTTTATGGTGGGTAAAATGATGTAAAATCGTCAAAACGATCTAGGTTTGCCATGATAATAATTGTCATTTATGGGATATGATAGACATTTTATGATATTTTGTCCATTTTGTCCCATAATTGACAGTACATTTATCCCATCATTGAGCCATGGTCCATATATATATATATATTTCTGTAGCCTGGACAGGCTCATTTGAAGCGTCTGCAATTGGGTCTTCGTCTTCGGTGTCGGAGCTTGCTTCGTGCTTGCGAGGCTGGGACCTGTTTGATCTTCTTATGATAGATTATATATGCTGTTGTGTATATATATATGATTATATATGCATATATATATATGCATATGTATATATATATACATACACTGTACACACATGCATACAATATGTTTATAACTTTCTGGACACCTAAAAGATAAAACAGTAAACATATGAAACCATTGGTTGCTTTGACTTGGCAGGCGCACTTGCAAGACTTGGCGTATTGGTCCCGCCCGCAGGCGATAACTCGGAAAGTCCATCCCACTGGGTGATCTCAGAAATGCAGAGAATAGATTGATCCATCCTAAATGCCAGGATATGCTAGGGCTGCTAGGGCTGCTAGGGCTGCTAGGATGTTTATCTGCCCGTTTTTGGATCTAGTGATTGGATTGCTATCCCTAATTGATCAAATCTAAAGCACCCCAAACTGACTTAGGTCCGTCCTGAAGTAATTGATCCATTCTTGCTGCCGTTTTGAAAGGGCCTTCCTGTAACTTACTGTTGGAGATGCAGCCGTATTGTCGGATGGTGCATCCTGCATGGAAAGAACACCCGCTGCGCAGTGCGCCTGACTAGATGTTTTTTCTTGGAGGGCTATTTATTTTTGTTTTTGTTTTTTTTTGGCAGGTTTTGGAATTCTTCTTGGGTTCCTGGTTCTATGCTTTCCTGCTTTTCTGCTTTTCTGCTTTTCCTGCTTCTCTGCTTTTCTGCTTTTGTGCTTTACCTGCTTCTTTTCTTTTCTGCTTCACTGCTTTCCCTGCTTCTCTGCTTTTCTGCTTTTGTGCTTCTGTGCCTTTCTACTTCTATTATACTTTTTCTTTTCTTCAGTCATGTGTTTTGCTGCTCTACTTCCTGCTCCTGTGCTTCCTTGCCTCCTGTCTTTACTGCCTCTCTGTTTTTTCTTTTCTTTTGCTTTATTCTCTCCTGTTTGTAAACACCCTAGGTGAAACCCAAAGAAACTTTAAAGAAATCTTGAGAAGAACTCCTGATAAGAAACCCTACATGAAACCCTAAATGACATCCTAAAGAAACCTTAAACGACATAAACAAAAACCTAAATGAAACCCAAAAGAAACCCTAAACGAACTCTAAAGCAACCCTAAACCTAAAGAAACCCTGAATGAAACCCTAAATGAAACCCGAAATGAAACCCTAAAGAAACCCTAAATGAAACCTTAAAGAAACACTACAGTAAATGAAACCCAAAAGAAGCCCTAAAGAAACCCACATGAACGTTTGAAAATCCTAATATCAAATCTTACTGAAACCCACATGAAAGAAGCCCTAAGAAATCCTAATGTTTACGTAGAATTCTGAAGATTCCACCAACTTTCGTAAACAGAACATGGACCAATGCCAGGGTACTAGAGGCAGCTTCCTCTCACCGTCCGCAAAGGACAGTCAGCGCAGTCTTGGAAGCAAGGAAAGGAGGGCTAATTATTTTAGGTTTTTTTTTTTTGATCAGGTTTAGGAATTATTTTTGGATTCCTGCTTCTCTGCTTTTCCTGCTTTTCCTGCTTCTCTGCTTTTCTGCTTTTTTGCTTTTCTGCTTCTCCTGCTTCTCGCCTTTTCTGCTTTTTTGCTTTTTTGCTTTTCTGCTTCTCCTGCTTCTCTGCTTCTCTGCTTTTCTGCTTTTTTGCTTTTCTGTTTTTCCTGTTTCTTTGCTTCTCTGCTTTTCCTGCTTTCCTGCTTCTCTGCTTTTCTGCTTTTCCTGCTTCTTTGCCTTTCTGCTGTTTTGCTTTTGTGCGTTTCCTGTTTCTTTGCTTCTCTGCTTTTTTGCTTCTCTGCTTTTTTTTGCTTTGCCTGCTTTAAATACTTGATTTTCATGTAAGATGCATTTTGCACAGTATTTACATCCCTGAGTATCACATGACCAACCTTCTCTTGAAAACTTGCAACGTAACATGTGAGAAGAGGTGCTTGCATTCTGCTTTGGGGGGAGGCGCTGCGCCCTCCCCAATCCCCCCCTCCCGCTTTTTTTTATTTAAACTTAAACCCAAGTTACATTAGTTGGTTTTTGCGAACTAACCTTCTCTGGAAAGCTGACAGGATTACATGTGATAGATAGATAGATAGATAGATAGCAGACAGATAGATAGATAGATAGATAGCTTGGTAGATAGATAGCTAGATAGATAGATAGCCAGCTAGATAGATAGATAGCTAGAGAGATAGATAGCTAGATACCTGGATAGATAGATGGCTAGATAGATAGCTAGATAGATAGCTAGCTAGATGGATAAAGAGGTAGCTAGATAGATAGCTAGATAGATAGATAGATAGATAGCTAAATAGATAGGCAGATAGTTAGCCAGATAGATAGATAGCTAGATAGATAGCTCGTTAGCTAGATAGCTGGATAGACAGCTGGATGGCTAAATAGATAGATAGCTAGATAGATAGAAAGCTAGATAACTAGATAGCTAGATAGATAGTTAGCTAGATAGCTCGATAGCTAGATAGCTGGATAGACAGCTGGATGGCTAGATAGATAGATAGCTAGATAGATAGCTAGCTTGCTAGATAGATAGCTAGATAGCTAGCTAGCTGGATAGATAGCTAGCGCCCTCCCTCAATCCCCCCCACCCGCTTTTTATCTAATCCCAAGCTTCTGCATCTGTAAATATTTGGGTGAACATGCTCACATGTAGAACATCCCATGCAAAATGGAAGGTGAACATGCCAAAATGTGGCAAATACCATACAAAATGGAAGGTGAACATGCCCACATGTAGGAAATCCCATGCAAAATGGAGGGTGAACATGCCAAAATGTGGCAAATACCATACAAAATGGAAGGTGAACATGCCCACATGTAGTTATTCCCATGCAAAATGGAAGGTGAACATGCCCAAATGTGGCAAATACCATGCAAAATGACAAATTCAAGTTCCAAACCGTTGCAAACACTAGGCAAATGGTACCAGCCAAGAAATCCAAAAAAAATTCCCAAACCTGTTGAAAAAGAAATCCTAAAACTATTTCACACCCGCAAGGAAATTGAAATTGATTGGCCACCTTCTTAGGTCCCACGGCAATGATGTCATGAGATGTTCGGTTATTTCGTCAAATTATTGTTTAGCGACACCACCCCATCGACGACAAGGTAGACCTAGGCACAATTGGTCGTACATTGCTTTGAAGGCTGCGTGGGCTAGTTTTGGCAACCCTGCTGTTTTCAAAGCAGACCTTGACCAAATTAATTTTTTGCACACGCAAGCAGTGCAGAGGCACGGGGTTTTTGGATAAGGCCAGAGCGCCTTTCGCTTCTATATCGCTTCTATTTAGTAGATTCTCCAATTGAGTTTGCGACGGAGATCACACCTTGACGGTTATGTGTCACATCTTACCATCTTTGGTTGTGCAGTTGCGTTATTTTGTTACCTCGCTGTCCTGTCCTTGTGTGCCAACGACACGACCGTGTTGGGCACTGAAGAAGAAGAAAAATATCAAATCTTACATGAAACCCTAAAGAAACCCTACATGAAACTCTAAAGAAGACCTAAACCTAAAGAAACCTTAAATGAACCCCTACATGAAACCCTAAATGAAACCCTAAAGAAACCCTAAATGAAACCCTATATAAATGAAACCCTAAACACACCCTAAATGAAAACCTAAATGAAACCCTATGGAAACTTTCAACAAACCCACATGAACGTTTGAAAAACCAAAATGTAGCCATGCAAATGAGAGGTTGAAGTGCCAAAACGTGGCAAATACCATGCAAAATGGGAGGCGAACATGGCCAAATGTAGCAAATACCATGCAAAATGCAAAGTGACCATGCCAAAATGTAGCAAATAACATGCAAAATGACAGATTCTAGTTCCAAACTGTTGCAAATACAAGGCAGATGGTACCAGGAAAGAAAGCCAGCAAAAAATCCAAAACCTGAGTCAAAAAAACATCCAAAAACTATTCTGCACCCTTTTTTCTTGGTGCATTTGCTCCTCCTTCCGAATTATTTTGTGCCACCAAAAGTTTCAGCGCATCCGCTGCAGTTGGGACATGTTACTTAGGCATAACTTTTTTGAAACCACGATTCGTGGACAGGCTTGTTTTCAAGATCCAGGCGCGACTTAGGCATGAGTTTCGCGCATCCCTGGACATGAACGTCAATCAAGTTTTTTTGGTGTATCAGAGGGAACGAATAGCACAACAGGAAACATACAGTGATTACTCCGATTGCATTCACGTTGCCAGGCAGGGATGTTCTTGTGGCTGCGAATGCAGCGACCCAGAGTTTTCACTCACGAGGAAATGTTGGAGAGTTGGGGCTCCCAGGCGGGCGCTGCAAGCTTAATTTTGCGTCGGGTTGTTTTGATAGAATCGAGGCTGCATTTGTAAGTCGATGTATGACATTATATAACCGTAGTTAGCCGTAGTTATAGGGGTTATATGATGTATGTATATATATATATATGTGCAATTATGTATTATATATATATATGTATATATATATGTATTGTCTCAACAAACATAAGGGTTATAATCCGATAGTCATAGCCATTTGACAAGCAGCCAGTCCTGCACTCCCAGGTCTTCAGCGGAACAAGGTTGCGCCAATGCCAGGAGGTTTTTGCTCACCAGTGCGGACAGGTGCGACGTGCGACGTGGAAGGACGGCTAGCACGGTTTAACATGGGCGTTGTGAGCGTTGAACTCGCATGTTTCATGGGGATTTAGTGGGATTCAAGCGGATTTCATGGGATTTGATGGAATCTATGATAAACCACAACCATTTGGCAGTTTTTGAGGATTGGGGATCTACCGCTTTCAAATGCCAGAAATGCCATTGGATTTTCCAGTGGATTTTCTGAAGTGCTAAACCGCCGGGGAGCTATGGATGTTTTTGCACCGGAGCTAGGTGACCCGGTGCCGTGTTTTCGGCTGTCCTATGTCACCCCAAGTGATGGCTACGACCTGGCAGCTCAAAGGCTTCGCAAGGCGAGGCATGGGGCACGATTTGGGCACCTTGAGATCAGTAGGGATGCAGATTCACTGAGGAACTTACTGTTTGTCAGTGTATGGCCCAGTGTATGGTTTAGCCAGATGAGAATTGTGATCTGGTTGGTGGTTTCAAAGATTTTTTTAATTTCCTATGTCATATATATATATATATTCATATATGGGATAATCCTTTCTTTTATCCTTCCCATTGAGTACCCTCTGGTAATTTAACGTAACTATGGAAAATCACCATTTATAGTGAAATTTCCCATGAAAAATGGTGGATCTTTCCATAGTTACGTTAAATTACCAGAGGGTATATTTTTCAGAGGCACAATATATATTCTCCAAGCAGTGATATATTGTGGCAGCCATGCAGCGGGGACTGTCCCCGCTCCAGGTGCTTGCAGAGTTGAGCTTGCCCAGCGACGCTGGAGCCGCTGGATAGAGCACCTTGATGGATTGGTCCGACGGCCAAAAATGATGGTAATTTGCATTCCATGATATGGGTATGGATCAATACCTATTAATACCATTTTTAGTGGGATGAACATCCATTTACCAGCTATTTTGGGGTTCACTAGGTACCAGGGTTTTGACCCATCCCCATATTACCAAATAAACTTACCATTTATTAATATCATTGGTAATTTGTTTATTACCAAATATTCCATTAAAAAATGATGGTAATCAGACTGATGATATTACCAATAAACATCATGCATTTTCTCATTTAGACATGCTTGGTAAAGTGACAACGAATTAAACAGCTTAGGGATCTGTTCACCCGCGGTCGACACCAGTGCCTTATGACTTTTCACTGCAGAAGTGCTTCGTGACCATGGTTGAAGCCAATTGTATACGGACATATACCCAGCTGGCTATGGGATTCCAGTTATGTATGGATTATATGTCTATGTATACTGTATATATAAATACACACACACGTATATATTATATATATACACATACCATAATTACATGTGTATATAATAAATACATAGATAATATACTACTGGTAACTGGGAGACCCTTTGTATGTCCCAAGAATCGTTGCCAAAAAAACAGGGGGAACACGCTGAGGCTGATCATGCGCAAGGCCCTGCGGTTGGCCCTGCGCAAAACACAGAGGTCATCACCAAGCTGCTCCCCCAATGGATTGGTTTCTTGGGGAAAATCTGAGCCGGAAACCATCGATTTTCCCATGAAATGATTGATTAATTAATTCATGATATTTATGGGTGATATTAATGATTATTATTGATCAATATAATTGGAATCATGAATGATTATTAATGGTGATTCATGGTGATTAATGGAAGATCATGGGGCTTTCCGGTGAACAGCACTTCCCTTAAACCAATCCATTGAACCATGGATTTTTATGTGGTGATTGGAAAAATCGAACTGGGACACCGACTGTCAACTAGACATGTACAAAAAATCGCATCGCAGCATAAATTGCAAAGATCAATGGCCGACAAAGCGAGCCTTCGGCATGTTGCGTTGCTATGCGTTGCTCAGCTCCTCAGGAAAATGGGTCGCTGCCTTGACATTTATTCAACGACCAAGCTTGCTCAATGAACCAGCTCAAGACAAGCTGTCCTGCTGCCTATCCGTTTCTATTTTTCGGAAAGCCATTGGGATTCCGTTTTTTTGTTTTATGCTGATTCCCATTCAGCTTTCCTAAGCACCAGCCACTCATCCCATGCACCAGAAATCTTCCACTGAAATTCCTGTGTCTCTAAGGGCACATGAGAAAGCCACAGTGAGACGCCCCAGTTGAAGCCCATTTTGTGAGGAAGAAATGGCAACCCAAAACCCAGTGGTGGTTGTTTACTCGAGGCTTTAGGGGCATTCAGAGTGTTTCAAACAATTCGTACGAATGTGGGGTTTTTGAAATATACCGAGATCTCCTTGGTCGTGGATGTGGTGTACTAAAAACATCTAAAAACCTTCAGTGACTGTGGATGATGAGAAGCCACTGAGATTTTATGATTGTGGATGAGAAATACAGTAGAATCTCCATGTCTATGTATTACTTCCCTAAAACCTGTGTGAAAGTGATTGGAAAATGTGAGACTGCGGATATAACTTATATCTAGTTATATAGATCCCGTTAGATCCCATTAACTCCAATAGAATCCCATTCACTCCCACTACATCCCATGACTTGGGATTTTTCTGAGGCTTGGGATGATGGCCAGCTGCTGAGCATGCAGGTGCACCGATGAACCATGGGATTTTGGTGGATTTCCCATTTCGGAGCCAAATTTTTGGGATTTTGTCATTTTTTTATTCCCCTTGAAGTTTCTAGTACATCTAGTACGAAATGAGGTGCCTGGTGTAACCTTTGAAAAGGGGTCATTTCGTACACTCTATTAGAGGCATTTTGCACCTAAGGGTTGGTCATTCACATTTTGTACAGGGAAATTTGGCTTCAAGATGATTGGTGCGACAAGGTTGGTGCACCTCATTTGGAACACCCTACCAAAGATCCATTTTGTACAATTAACGTCGAATCAACAATCCCCATTTTGTACAGAGATTGCATCTGGGGGTTGGTTAAACCATTTTGTACACATCCAAATCATTCCAATCGACATGGTGAGCCTCATTTCGTACAGGAACCATTTTTTTTAGCACCCTGTGGGTGTACAAAATGGCACTCCCAGGGATTTTGGTGTGCCATTTTGTGCACTCCGAGCTGGGGACGGCAACTTTCCAACAGGGGGCCACTACCCATGTATGTATTACCAATATTATATATTCTATGCATTGAATTCCAAACAGGGGGCCACTACCACCACATATTTCCTCATATTTTACATTCATAGCATTTATTTGTTTGTGGCCCTCAGGTAGCATCAGTACAAGATCGAATACCTTCATTTTTTGGGGATATGGACTGTACAAAATGGAACTTTAGGTGGTTGACATGGTGACCTTGGTTTCTCCAAAATGTACGGGGGGGGTGTACAGAATCAGGCCATTTGTTGGAGTTGAAATTGTATTGGTGCCATGTCATTTTGCACAGAAATCATCCAGAAAGTTGTTCATGCGAGCTCTTTCTGTGCCTGGGGTTGGTAACCACTATTTTGTCCTGAAAACATGTTAAAATACCTTGTGCCCCACCATTCTGTAAGCTGTTTCTGTACCAAATGAGGGGGCACTACCCCCAGGCTAGATTCCAAGGGGGATATTTTTTAAATGTTGTCTTAAAGACTCAACTGGACATTCTTTGTGGAAACGGCCGGTAGCTGCAGGTGGTTGCACAGGTGCAAGGCGTTCTGGAAAGGCTGCCCTCCCCTGTTTTGATGGATCAGGAACTGCAAACACTCACATTCTGGGCACCACATTGACAGGAACAACTCGTTTGACCGTTGCTCAAATTTTCGACCAAATATGACACTTTTTGTGTTCCAGTAGTACCACAATGGAACTTTTTTGCTGCTTAAACGTGCGTTGAACGTGAAGCCGTGGTGGAGTGGCTTAAGATTACATTTAAGCAGAAGCTGCTGCAGCTGTTTGCAGTTGGGCAACCATTCCATATATGATTCCATGTATTTCCATGGTGGCATCCTGCAAACGAATGGCAGACTGTGCTATCCTTGCCAGATCCTGCAAGTGTGTGGGGCTTGTCGTATGGCTTCCTGATACACTTGACGCAGACAAGCACAACCTCACTTGCTTTTTGGTGGCACCAAGCCTCCATCCTGAATCAACGATCTGAGACAAAGATCTCTGAATCGTTTGGTGGTGCTGTGCAATGCCGGCCCTTCGACATCTAGCAGAGGTGGGATTTTTGCCCATGTGTGACATTTTGTGTGGCCACAGATGCAATATGATGCAATGATTCTTGGGAGCAAGATGGCCATGTCCAGGCGACTGCGCTGGAAAATGTCGGCATGGAGCTTCCTAGAAGTGGTGCATTTTCCCGGCACAAGGCACATTTTTTTATCATTTGTGGGTCAGAATTCTTGGTGAATTTTGAGGTGCGAACGGATCCAACTGTGATATATGATATCCATTGATATCCGATGATCCGACAAGCCCAAAGACATAGCTGCTATGCTATTCATGCCATGGATCTTGCTGTCTTTTTTGGTTGAAGTTGCTGTAACTTTTTGGCGAAAGCGCGAGAATTGAAAGCTTGGACTGCCTTTTTGATCCTTTTTGCCAAGTCTCCCTAAACCATGGTTCGTCCCAATTATACATTACCCCCAAAACATTAGCCTCTACTTAAAACGATATCATCTATCATCCAAATAATCCATGCCTGGGCAACTGAGAACAGTCCTACCCGTGCCGAGTGCCCCTGAATCTTTGGTTCGCTCGCCCAGATCAGCACCTTCTTGGCGAGTGAGCTGGAGTCAACTGCTATGAAGCTGAGACGGGGTCGTCTGCCGTTGCGCTCGGAAGGCACGAGCTGCGCTACTAGGTGACTTCGCATTCAGCTTGCATCTGGGGTCCAAACTTGTCTAGCTAGGATTTGCCAGACTGTTTGGATGTCTTGGAAAAGCTAGCATTTGACAACATCTGACAACTGCAGTTGGAACAAGCCGATGCCATAGGCTTTTCTGGCTGGTTTCCCAACCCTGAAGAGACGCGGGTGGCGCCTCCGGAGGTTTGAACAGCTGCAAGAATTTCTGGGTCAAATGGGGGGAGCGCCCCATCAAAATTGCAAAATCCATCGGGGTATCCGATTTTGAGCTACTTTAATGTTGTACAAAGAATTGGACCTTCTATGAAGGTCTTTGCACTTCGCTTGTGACGTTGATTATGGTGCAAATAAATGATGCGTTTGTAAGAGTGGGCCCAACATCATTTGAGGTTGAATGCTTTCCCTGAACTTGCTTAGGGGCTTGTTGGTGTCCGGAATGGAGGGACACTTGACTTTTGGCACATCAAATTGTCCTGGCAAGAGACCCCAAACAGTGTGGGGGGAGTAAAAGGATAATGTATTATAATGTTGACGATGATGATAACGTTGATGATAACGTTGACGAAGTTTGTGATGTTGTTGTTGATGATTTTGTTGTTGTTGTTGTTGATGATGATGATGATGGTGAAGACGAAGACAAATAAGAAGAATAAGAAGAAGAAGACGAAGAAGAAGAAGAAGAAGAAGAAGAAGAAGAAAGAAGAAGAAGAAGAAGAAGAAGAAGAAGAAGAAGAAGAAGAAGAAGAAGAAAAAGACGAAGAAGAAGAAAAAGAAGAAGAAGAAGAAAAAGAAGAAGAAGAATAATAAACATAAAAAGAAGAAGAAGAAGAAGAAGAAGAAGAAGAAGAAGAAAAAGACGAAGAAGAAGAAAAAGAAGAAGAAGAAGAAAAAGAAGAAGAAGAAGAAGAAACATAAAAATAATAAGAAGAAGAAGAATAAGAAGAAGAAGAAGAAGAAAAAGAAAAAGAAGAATAATAATAAGAAGAAGATGAAGATGACAATGACGATGACGATGACGATGATGATGATGATGATGATGACGATGATGGTGATGGTGATGGTGATGATGATGATGATGATGGTGATGATGATGATGTTGTTGATGAGGATGAGGATGATGATGAGAGGAAGATGATGATGTGGATGTTGAGGAGGAGGAAGAAGATGCTGAGGTTGAGGAGGCTGATGTTGAGGAGGAAGACCGATCCCAAGACCGGGATGCAGACTTTGTGCGAGCCTGCGCAGTTGAAATGCACATGCACATTGCACAAGGCGGAAATTTACAGGGAAAATGCCGGACACTAATCCCGGGGCAAGCATTTTGTGGGAGCCTGCGCAGTCGAAATGCACATGGACATGTCACAAGAGGCATTTTGTGCGGAAATTTACAGGGAAAATGCCGGACGCTAATCCCGCGGAAAGCATTTTGTGCGAGCCTGCGCAGTCGAAACGCACATGGACATTTACAAGAGCCGTTTTGTATGGACTTTTGAAGGGAAAATTCATGAAAATGCCAAACGCCCCGGATACCACCTCGATTGAACACCTTAACACTTACCGTAAGAACCCCTGTGTGGCCACACTGTTTGGGAAAAAACGACTGTGTTCAGTAAGCTCTCACGCCCTTTGACAGCGCTCCATCAGAGCCTTTGGGAATTCACCGACCCACAGCAATACATACACATGCATTTGAACCTGCTCAAATGGTCCGAGAGCGGATCGAATCTGATGCCCCAGTCTGTTCAACCCATACTGATCATCAACATGTGTCAACTTTTGGGTGTGCAGGGACAAGAAGCCATGGAGGTCCAGAAAGCAGAAAAGGCGGAGGAGCCTTGGCAGTAGATCAAACTGGCGATTGCTTGGAAATACTGTAGGGTCTACAACCATGTCTTAAAGTCCTTGCAAGCCGAGGAAGCGGAGGAGGACCCCTTGTCCCAAGAAGCTTGGTTTGAAGTTTTCACCTTTCCGAAAGAGACCCAGATCCTGAAGTTTCACATATTTTTCTCCTTCCAGCCCTGATGGGAGAGTCATCCCAAATTGACTTTTAGGTCACAAAACATCGACTCAGCATTCTTGGCTTCACATGCCGGCATAGTTTTTCTTCTAAACACATTGGCCCGCAGAACCATAGACAACCTGCTTAAGAGGGAGCTGGGGTATTTCTTTCTTCTTCAATTCACCCGACTGGGTGATGAATGAACATCATCATGACATTGTGCCCAATGGTTTTCCAGTCGCCCAGTTAGAAGGTGCTTTATGCACTCCCATATTGATCAGTGGGCCCTTACCCCATTCATACTGTAGATAATATGATACACAATGACACGCACACCCATATATATATATAATAGACAGCTAAACGCACGTGTGTGTATATATAAATATCTATCTATCGATCTTTTCTTGTAGTTACGTATAATTAGATTCTAGATATATTGTATATACGTATGTATATACACATGTGAGTTAAAGCGAGCTGGTTTGCGACTCAACATTCTAAGTCTGTGTCCGTTTTCATATCGGTCAAAATGGTTCCCGGTCACCCGTGACAGCGAGGCCCTCCAAGATGCAGGTGATTCAGTGAGCAGCGATGCAGCAAAGCAGTTGAAAGGAATGAAGGCATCGATGCATTATCCCATGGGTGTAACCGTGAGAACATGAGATTTCATCAGCCATTCTATAATGGGGAGATGCAGCCAACCATTTGATGCGGATATATTTCCCCAAACAGTGTACTGTTAGGGGTTCTTAATGCTTTCCTAAGGTGTCTGCCTTGGTGTTGGATGGTGCGTCCGCCTTCCCGAGGGTCTTGTTCTCCCCTTGTCTCCCATGGTACCCCTTCTTGTTTCCTTTGTTGGATGGTGCGTCTGCCTTCCCTTCTTGTTTCCCTTGCTTGGATGCCCGAGGGTCTTGTCTCCCATTGTACCCCTTCTTGTTGCCCTTTGTTGGATGGTGTGTCCGCCTTCCCATTGTCTCCCCACATGTGTGCTTCTGTTGATGGTGTGTCCGCCTTCTCAAGGTTTGTCTCCCCTTCTCTCCACCCGTCTCCCTGCGGATGGTGTGCGTGTGCGCCTTCCCACAACCATGTCCCCCCTTGTCTGCCATTGTCTCCCATTGTCTCCCCATGTGTGTGCCTGTGCTGGATGGTTTGTCCGCCTTCCCGAGGTCTTGTCTCCCATGGTGGCCCCACATGTGTGCCTTTGTTGGATGGCGTGTCCGCCTTCTCAGGTCTTGTCTCCCCATGTCTCCACGTGTGTGCGCCTTTCAAAGGCGTGTCTCCCCTTGTCTCCCATTGTTTCCCCATGTTTGGGCCTGTGTTAGAAGGTGTCTCTGCTTTCCCGAGGCCTTGTCTCCCCTTGTCTCCCCAGGTGTGTGCCTGTGTTGGATGGTGTGTCCGCCTTCTCGAGGCCTTGTCTCCCCTTGTTGCCTCTTGTCTCCCATTGTCTCCCATTGTCTCCCATTGCCCCCCATTGTCTCCCATTGTCTCCCATTGTTTCCATTGTCTCCCATTGTCTTCCATTGTCACATGTGTGCCTGTGTTGGGTGGCGTGTCCGAGGTCTTGTCTCCCCTTGTCTCGCTTTGTCTCCCGTTGCCTCTCCACATGTGTGCCTGTTGGATGGTGCTCAGGTCTTGTCTCCCCTTGTCTCCAATCGTCTCCCCACACGTGTGCCTTTGTTGGATGGTGTGTCCGCCTTCCTAAGGCCTTGCCTTCCTTGTCTATCAGCTTGTCTCCCAGCTTGTCCCCGCTTGTCTCCCAGCTTGTCTCCCAACTTGTCCTTCTTAATTCTTCCTTCCCTTTGTTGGATGGTGTGTCCACCTTGTCTCCCTTTTTCTCTCACCCATTTGGTCTTGTCTCCCAGCTTGTCTCCCATCTAGTCTCCCAGCTTGTCTCCCATCTTTCCGGCTTGTCTCGCAGCTTGTCTCCCAGCTTGTTCGTCTCCCAGCTTGTTTGCCAGCTTGTCTTCCTTCTTGTTTCTCTTTGTTGGATGCTTGTCTCCCATCTTATTGTCCCCCTTCTTGTTTCCCTTCGGTGGATGGTGTGTCCGCCGCCTTGTCTCCCTTGTCTCCCTTGCCCCCCAGCTTGTCTCCCAGCTTGTCTCCCAGCTTGTCTCCCAGCTTGTCTCCCAGCTTCTCTCCCACCTTGCTCCCAGCTTGTCTTCCTTCTTGTGTTTCCCCCTTCCCGAGGCCTGGTCTTTGTCTCCCTTCCTGTTTCCCTTTGTTGGATGGTGTGTCCTTCTTACCGAGACCTTGCCGCCCTTGTTTCCCAGCTTGTCTCCCTTCTTGTTTCCCCTTGGTGTGTCCGCCTCCCCGAGGCCTTGCCTCCCTTGTCTCCCAGCTAGTCTCCCAGGTTGTCTGCCAGCTTGTTTCCTAGCTTGTCTCCCATTGTCTCGCAGTTCCCAAGGCCTTGTCTCCCTTGTCTCCCAGCTTATTTCCCACCGTGTCTCCCATTTTACCACCTCCTATATATGTGCCTTTGTTGGATGGTGTGTCCGCCTTCCGAGGCCTTATCTCCCAGCTTGTCTCTCATCTTGTCTCCCCGCTTGTCTTCCTTCTTGTGTCCCTTTGTTGGATGGTGTGTCTGCCTTACCCCTCGTCTCCCATTGTGTTCCTTTTGTTGGATGGTGTGTTTTTTCCGAAGCCTTGTCCCCTTTGTTTCCCAGCTTGTCGCCCAGCTTGTCTCTCAGCTTCTCTCTCCGCTTGTCTCCCACCTCTCCCTTCTTGTTTCCCTTTGTTGGATGGTGTGTCTGCCTTCCCAAGGCCTTCTCTCCCTTGTCTCCAGTTTGTCTCCCATCTTGTCTGCGTCCGTATTCCTAAGGCCTTGTCGCCCTTGTTTCCCAGCTTGTCACCCAGCTTGTCTCTCAGCTTCTCTCTCCGCTTGTCTCCCACCTCTCCCTTCTTGTTTCCCTTTGTTGGATGGTGTGTCTGCCTTCCTAAGGCCTTGTCTCCCTTGTCTCCAGTTTGTCTTCCATCTTGTCTCTCCGCTGCCTCCCAGCTTGTCTTCCTTCTTGTTTTCCTTTGTTGGATGGTGTGTCCGCCTTCCCAAGGCCTTGTCGCCCTTGTTTCCCAGCTTGTCGCCCAGCTTGTCTCTCTTTTTGTTTTCCGTTGTGGTGAATGGTCTCATTTTGCATGTTTGTTGATGTCTTGGAAATATTGAATGCACACTTCTAGCGTGAAGTTGCTCGCCCGCTTGGAAGCCGTGGGCTCGGGGATTGAGAATGATTATGATGTCATTTTTCAGTTTTATCCTCCGATGTTTTCATTATAGAATGGGCTAGCGCCCGGGTGCCGCCGACCCCCCCTATTTGGGGGGTCCTGCAGAGAGAGGGAGAGAGATAGATAGATGGATGGATGGATGGATGGATGGATGGATAGATAGGTAGAGAGATAGAGAGAGAGAGATAGACAGATAGATAGATAGACAGTTGGATAGACAGATAAGTAGATGGAGAGATAGATGGATAGATAGCTGGATGGATAGATAGATAGATGGATAGATAGATAGAGAGGGAGAGATAGATAGAGGGGGAGAGAAAGATAGAGAGGGAGAGATAGATAGATAGAGAGGGAGAGATAGATACTCCGACGGCATCCGACGGCATCAGCGGTTCAGTGGGTCAGTGGCGGAAAAGAGAAGAGGAGGGCACGCGAACGCACGAGACAAAGCCGGAGGCAAAACAACGGAGAGAAGACGAAAGGGCAGAAATGACCAGTGCGAATGCCGAGGATGCCAGCACAGAACAAAAACGGAGAAGAGAAGTGGAGGAGGCCAGAACACAAGAAGGAGAACCAAAAGAAAAACAACGCAAAGACGAGACAGGAAAGGCCGAAGAAAAGCAGAGAGCCTTGCAAGCAGGTAAAAGGCAGGAAGGCAGCAAGCCCAGCAAGGAGGAGACTTTGCCGGCAAAGAAACGACAAGCAACGCAGAGGGGACAGAGTTTCAAATATGTCTGTCCTGCTTGCGCGCAGTCAGTGATCAGCAGAATATGCACAGGGGAAGTAGATCATCGGCGAACCTGCGGGAAGCGATTCCGAGTGAAAGACGGTGTTGTGGCAGAGGAATCTGTTGTTTACAAATGCCCATTCTGCAGTGGCCTTGTGAACAGCAATGTGAAGACAGGGCAAATCGACCACCGGGGTGTCTGTGGGCATAAATTTTCGGTAAAGGACGGCGTTGTCGCAGGAAAAAGTTTTGCTTACCAGTGCCCATTTTGCAGTGGACTTGTGAACAGCAATGTGGAGACAGGGCAAATCAACCATCGATCTGTGTGCAACAATCAATTTTATGTCAAGGACGGTGCAGTCAGCAAGCAGACACGGCGTCATGCGCACAGTTGCCCCGTCTGCTCCACTGTTGTTTGGTCATCGCTGTCACGTGGCCGCATTGCTGTCAAGCATGACATGCCATCGGGAAAACCATGTCACAACAAGCAATGGCACGTTCCCGAGAAAAAGACAACGAAAACAAAAAAGAAATGAAAGCCATTGGGCTGTCGAGCACCAACTGCATGGAGGCTGCCTGCACGCAGGCGTGTGCAAGTGTTGCAGGCGCGCAGACGGCGCCTGGAACCCAATGCCACGGCCTGAAGGACTTGTCGAAGCTGCAGGATGGGTCTGCCGCGGCCCGAGTGGCGCGTGGGAGTTGCAGGGAAGCGTTAGGGGAGTCTTGAGGACTTTGGGCGTTTGGAAGGCTCCAAAACGCAGGCTTGAACCTCCATAAAAAGACAATGTCGCAGCTGGCAAACGGCATGGGAGCTGCAGAGAAGCGTTTGGGAGTTTTGCGGCTGGCAAACGGCACGCTGGAACCCCCAGACAAGGACAATGCCGGGGCTGGCAAACGGCATGGGAGCTGCAGGGAAGCATTTGCGGGGTTTTGCGGGCTGGCAAACGGCAGGCTTGAACCACCCTAAAAGGACAATGCCGGGGCTGGCAAACGGCATGGGAGCTGCAGGGAAGCATTTGCGGGGTTTTGCGGGCGGGTAAACGGCAGGCTTGAACCACCATAAAAGGACAATGCCGGGGCTGGCAAACGGCATGGGAGCTGCAGGGAAGCATTTGGGGTTTTGCGGGCTGGCAGACGGCAGGCTTGAACCACCATAAAAGGACAATGCCGGGGCTGGCAAACGGCATGGGAGCTGCAGGGAAGCATTTGGGGGGTTTTGCGGGCGGGCAAACGGCAGGCTTGAACCACCATAAAAGGACAATGCCGGGGCTGGCAAACGGCATGGGAGCTGCAGGGAAGCATTTGGGGGGTTTTGCGGGCTGGCAAACGGCAGGCTTGAACCACCATAAAAGGACAATGCCGGGGCTGGCAAACGGCATGGGAGCTGCAGGGAAGCATTTGGGGGGTTTTGCGGGCTGGCAGACGGCAGGGTTGAACCACCATAAAAGGACAATGCCGGGGCTGGCAAACGGCATGGGAGCTGCAGGGAAGCATTTGGGGGGTTTTGCGGGCGGGCAAACGGCAGGCTTGAACCACCATAAAGGGACAATGCCGGGGCTGGCAAACGGCATGGGAGCTGCAGGGAAGCATTTGAGGGTTTTGCGGGCTGGCAAACGGCAGGCTTGAACCACCATAAAAGGACAATGCCGGGGCTGGCAAACGGCATGGGAGCTGCAGGGAAGCATTTGGGGGGTTTTGCGGGCTGGCAGACGGCAGGCTTGAACCACCATAAAAGGACAATGCCGGGGCTGGCAAACGGCATGGGAGCTGCAGGGAAGCATTTGTGGGGTTTTGCGGGCGGGCAAACGGCAGGCTTGAACCACCATAAAAGGACAATGCCGGGGCTGGCAAACGGCATGGGAGCTGCAGGGAAGCATTTGGGGAGTTTTGCGAGCGGGCAAACGGCAGGCTTGAACCACCATAAAAGGACAATGCCGGGGCTGGCAAACAGCATGGGAGCTGCAGGGAAGCATTTGGGGAGTTTTGCGGGCGGGCAAACGGCAGGCTTGAACCACCATAAAAGGACAATGCCGGGGCTGGCAAACGGCATGGGAGCTGCAGGGAAGCATTTGGGGGGTTTTGCGGGCTGGCAAACGGCAGGCTTGAACCCCTGAAAAACAGATGGCAGGGGCATGTAGCTGTAAGAGTTGTTGCCTTGGAGGCCTGCGGAAGCGTTTGGGGGTTTCAGGCCGGTCAAACGGCAGTCTTGAACCCCTAAAAACAGATGGCAGGGGCATGTAGCTGTAAGAGTTGTTGCCTTGGAGGCCTGCGGAAGCGTTTGGAGGGTTTCAGGCCGGTCAAACGGCAGTCTTGAACTCCCTGAAAAACAGATGGCAGGGGCATGTAGCTGTAAGAGTTGTTGCCTTGGAGGGCTGCGGAAGCGTTTGGGGGGTTTGAGGCCGGGCAAACGGCAGTCTTGAACCCCCTGAAAAACAGATGGCAGGGGCATGTAGGTGTAAGAGTTCGGCAGGAGCATGTAGATGGCTGGGGCATGTAGCTGGCAGAGGTGTTGCCTTGATGGCGTGTGCCTTTGCTTGCGACCCGAGAGCCAAGTTCCACACCTCCGGTGGTCCCAGGCGCCGCCCCTGCCTTGGCAAAGGCCGGGGTCGGCGGACATCCAATTTGACACTCCTATGCTGCTTGATTCGAGTCTTTGGATCCAGATAGCTACACCCCCATCGGATGTTTCCTTCATCGTTTTTCGGCATCTAGCGTTGCAACACAGCAAGCGAAACCGAAAAAATTAAACGTGAAGTGGTCTCCGGCACTTGTTGCAGACATTTTCACGATTCCTGTCGCTGCTATTTCATGTGTTTGACCCTGTTCCTCAAAACACTTCTTGAATCCACCCAGTGTTTAGGGTCTATGGTCGTGTAATTTGTAGGATATAATATGGATCCTCATCACCAACAAGAAGTTCGGATCTCGGGGTATTCTCAAAGTCTTAAAGATACATTACTATATGTATATATCATTATCATCATCATCATCATTATTATCATTATTATTATCATTCTTTTTATTATCATTATTATTATCATTATTATCATTAGCATTATTTTTATTTTTTATCATTATTATTATTGTTATCATTATTGTTATTGGTATCATTATTATTATCATTATCATTATCATTTTCATTATTGTTTTTATTATTATTATCATTATTATTATTACCATTATTATTATAATCATTATTATTACCATTATTATTTTTTATTTTTATTAGTATCATTATTTTTATCATTATTATTATTGGTATCATTATCATTATCATTCTTGTTATTATTATCATTATTATTATTATTATCATCTTTATTATTATTACATATTATTATCATTATTATTGTTATCATCTTTATTATTATTACATATTATTACCATTATTGTTATTATTATCATTATTACTATTATCATTATTATCATTATTATTATTATCATTATTATCGTTATTATTATTATTATTATCATTATTACTATTATCATTATTATCATTATTATTATCACTATTATTATCATTATTTTTATTATCATTATTATCATCATTATTCTTATATATATATACATATTATTACTATTATTATGATATAATGTGTGGCAATTAAATGGAAAACATTTTTTTGTCTATCTATAGATGAACTACCTATTGAACATGGTGATTTTCCATAGCCTAGCTATGTTATCACCAAACGGGAACTCAACACGTTAAGACAGAGCCGGTTCCAAGGGCAACCCTTGTTGAAAATCCGAGGCATGAGCTGTGTAGGTCGGTCTGACGACGTTTGGTATGACACAAGGTACAGGCATGTACCGGATAAAGCGCATACAATCTACAACATACATATATAGACATACAGTATATATATATATACATACATAGACACACATATCTATATATATTATAATATCGTTAGTAGATCTGTATTCCGGGAATTGGATGAAGGGAAAATCAAACAAGGGCCTGCCATATGTGGGCGTGATTTCAACCATAAAAAGATCCCTCAAAGCAAACCTGGTGACGCAGGAGAAAGCCAGCGAAAACTTGGAAACCCCAGAAGGCGGTGCAGCCAAAGAAGCTGTCAAGGACTGTGAATTTTTGTGCGGAAGTGGTAGTAGACTTGGCGTGCAAAGAATCACAAAATGTCAATCGAATTGGTGGTTTCAAAATGTTTCAGATATTTTTTTCAACAAAATTATATATTTGTGATGATGAACCCCAATGACTTCCCTCCCACCAGGAGGATGATATCGCTCCGCCAGATGTAGCTGGGCACAAAATTACTGCATCTGAGTATTGTTCTTGCTCATGAAGTCAAAGCGTACAGACAGAGGACATGCGCCGATGAAGTTTCTTTATGAATGGAACCATGAATAGCCGGGCAGAGAAAGTGATTTGATTAGCCTGCAATTTGTTTCGCTGGGACATGGCCAATTACATGGGAGTTTTGAGAACGGCTGCCAGGTGGACAACGAACATGGTGAACCTTCCCCGTCTGCCATCCAGACCATGTGGGAGATGTCTATCACGTGTCTTGGATGCGAGCGTGAAACTCACGGAAGGGTTGGTGGAGCGCTCTACCATGCTTTCCCGATCTTTCCCGAGGTATTTGAAAGTCAAGTTCTTTTTCATGTTTTGTGCGCTCCTGATTGTTCCCTTTGATGCTTGGCGGCAGTTTTGTGCATTTCCATTCGACTCCGGGCTCGTGTAGAATGGATGGAAAAGGTGTACAATACACCAGCAAGTGGAGGCTTCGAAACAATCTGGACAACCAAGTCTGGGGTGAGAACGTCAGGGAACATCAGCCAGCATCTTTTAAGGCGAATTTCGCCTTCGCACCCTGGGGAATTAGAAGGGAACCGTTGAACCATGGCATAGAAAAATCATTCCGTCCAACGCCCTGTTCCATTTCTGTAGGGTGACAACATACAGCACTACCGATATGTACAATATTGTATAATGTCAACCCCGGATTCCGAATTGTCAGAAATTGCGACCTGTAGTGGTACCATCTGAATTGAACCGCCCAGAGGTTTATTGATCTGGGATTGACATCAATATGAATGATATAAATACACGCCTACACGCCTACACACATACGCACATTCTCAGCACGCACACACACACACACCCACACCCCCACACCCACACACCCACGCACCCACGCACCCACGCACCCACGCACGCACGCACGCACGCACGCACGCACGCACGCATGCACATACATACTATTATACATGCATGCATACCTACATACCTACATACCTACACACCTACATACGTACATACATAAATACCTACATACCTGCATACGTGCATACGTGCATACGCGCATACGTGCATGCGTGCCTACGTGCATACGTGCATATACGTGCATACGTGCATTATGTGCATAATGCATATGTGCATACGTGCATACGTGCATACGTACATACGTGCATACGTGCATATATAATATGTGCATACGTACATACGTGCATACGTGCATACGTGCATACGTGCACGCGTGCATACGTGTATACGTACATACGTCCATATATACGTGCATAAGATTGCATAAGTGCATACAAGCATACGTGCATACGTACATACGTGCAGAATGCATACCTGCATACGTACATACGTGCACAATGCATACGTGTATACGTACATACGTGCATATATACGTGCATAAGATTGCATAAGATTGCATGAGTGCATACGTGCATACGTGCATACGCGCATACGTGCATGCGTGCATACGTGCATACGTGCATACGTGCATACATGCATACGTGCATACGTGCATACGTGCATACGTGCATACGTACATACGTGCATACGTGCATAATACGTGCATACGTACATACGTGCATACGTGCATACGTGCATACGTGCACGCGTGCATACGTGTATACGTACATACGTGCATATATACGTGCATAAGATTGCATAAGTGCATACGCGCATACGTGCATACGTTCATACGTGCAGAATGCATAGCTGCATACGTACATACGTGCACAATGCATTCGTGCATACGTACATACGTGCATACGTGCATACGGGCATACGTGCATTATGCATTCTCGCATACGTACATATATTGCATACGTGCATACGTGCATATACATACGTGCACACGGGCATACGCGCATACGTGCATACGCGCATACGTGCATAAACGTGCATACGTGCATTATGTGCATAATGTGCACACTTGCATACGTACATACGTGCATGCGTGCATACGTACACAAGTGCATACGTGCATACGTGCATACGTGCATACGGGCTTACGCGCATACGTGCATACGTGCATACGCGTTTACGTGCATATGTGCATACGTGCATACGTGCATAATGCATATGTGCATACATGCATACGTGCATACGTACATACGTTCATACGTGCATACGTGCATACGCGCGTACGTGCAAAATGCATACGTGCATACGTGCATACGTACATACGTGCGTATGTGCATAATGCATACGTGCATACGTGCATACGTGCATACGTGCATACGTGCAGATGTGCATACGTGCATACGTGCATACGTGCATACGTGCATACGTGGTTCTTGCATACGTGCATACGTGCATAATGCATGCGTGCATACGTACATATGTGCATACATGCATACGTGCATACGTACATACGTTCATACGTGCATACGTGCATACGCGCGTACGTGCAAAATGCATACGTGCATACGTGCATACGTACATACGTGCGTATGTGCATAATGCATACGTGCATACGTGCATACGTGCATACGTGCATACGTGCATACGTGCAGATGTGCATACGTGCATGCGTGCATACGTGCATACGTGCTTCTTGCATACGTGCATACGTGCATAATGCATGCGTGCATACGTACATATGTGCATACGTGAATATACTGCATGCGTGCATACGTACATACGTGCATACGTGCATAGGTGCATACGCGCGTACGTGCATAATGCATACGTGCATATGTACATACGTGCATACATAACTTACTAAGCGATAAAACCTTTGAGAATGGCACCAACAAAGTTTTTTTTGTGCTGACCATGGAGAGATATTTGCAGTTTGTCAGAGACCCAAGGTGCTTATGTCTCAGAAAAAACACGCAGAAAAACCACAATTTGATCGAGAAGATGGTGAATCCGACGAGGCTGATGCACCTTGGACATGGGACGCCATGGAAGAAAAAAAACATTGTTTAGCGCATGGCCTCATTTAAGTGCCATGGTCAAAAGATGAATTATATGCTTAATATACCCATATAAGGGATGGTCGTCAATCCATCAATAGGGGGTACCCCATTGTAAGGATTCCATTTTTAGGATGGATGGCCATAAACCATATACCATGTTTTGACCACCACATCTAAGATGTCAAATTTGTAGAAGGTGCAAGCAGATATCAGCCACACTCTGCCATACTAGACGTCCTCCAGCCTTCAAAACGTGAATCCTACAGGGAAAATTGCATATGTACATTTGAATGGTTTGGAGGACTGCATGTACAATCAAATATATGTTCACAATAATGTGTATATATATATATTTATAAGCATACATATTATGTATGCACATGCAGCTATACATTTTCGTGTATACGTACACTGCATACGAATAAACATGTACATACGTATATAGACATATGCATAATATGCACACACACACATATTTTGCAGACATACAGTATACATTTATGTACATTTATAATACATACACTACATCACATACAGTACATACAATACATACAACACATACAATACATACAATACATACAATACATACATGCATACATATATACATACCTATGCATACATACATATACACATGATATGGACATCTCTTTTATGCTGAGGTCAATGACCCCCGCGCTCCGATAGCTGACTGAAGCCGGGAGAGGGTGCTGTGTTGGGTTTTCCCTGATGTCTATGGCCATTTTAATTGGCATAATATGGGAAAATATGATAAAATTACTTTACTTCGTGTGATCCCCACCATGACATTTATACATTTTGTTACTGGCAAATCTTCTGGCATTCTATCTGACATTTTATCTGGCATTCTATCTGGCATACCTTCTGGCATTCTATCTGGCATATCTTCTGGCATTCTATCTGGCATATCTTCTGGCATTCTACCTGGCATATCTTCTGGCATATGTTCTGGCATATCCTCTGGCATTCTATCTGGCATATCTTCTGGCATATTATCTGGCAATCTTCTGGCATTCTATCTGGCATATCTTCTGGCATATTACCTGGCATACCTTCTGGCATTCTATCTGGCATATCTTTTGGCATATGTTCTGGCATATCTTCCGGCATTCTATCTGGCATTCTATCTGGCATTCTATCTGGCATATCTTCTGGCATATTATCTGGCAAATCTTCTGGCATTCTATCTGGCAAACATTCTGGCACTTTATCTGGCATATCTTCTGGCATTCTATCTGACATTTTATCTGGCATTCTTTCTGGCATACCTTCTGGCATTCTATCTGGCATATCTTCTGGCATTCTATCTGGCATATCTTATAGCTTTCTATCTGGCATATCTTCTGGCATTCTATCTGGCCGTTGAGGTCCAGCGGTGCACACTGAGCTGGGCAGGTCCCAGGTTGAGGTCCAGCGGTGCACACTGAGCTGGGCAGGTCCCAGGTTGAGGTCCAACGGTGCACACTGAGCTGAGAAGGTCCCCGGTTGAGGTCCAGCGGTGCACACTGAGCTGGGCAGGTCCCCGGTTGAGGTCCAGCGGGGCACACTGAGCTGGGCAGCTCGCAGGTTGAGGTCCAGCGGTGCGCACTGAGCTGGGAAGGTACCAGGTTGAGGTCCAGCGGTGCACACTGAGCTGGGAAGTTGGCAAAGAGCTTGGCGACGAGTTGGCAAGGCTGGCAAGGCTGGCAAGGCGGAAGTGGAGGTGGAAGAGGCGGAGGCGAGGAGGAGGGCGAGGAGGACAGCTAGTCGAGGAGGAGGAGGAGGAAGAAGAGGCAGCGGGCATGCGCTCTGATAAAATCTAACAACCCTCACCTGGCAGGTGGGGAATGAGGATAATATGGGAAAACGATGACAAATCATCTTTTGGAGATTCTAATCATAACCATTTTTGATGTTTGGTGAACATGATGTTTACGATAGTTGGGTGATGTACGAAAACAAGTCAAGTCTTCAGAGGACCTGACATTGTGCAACGAAACCCGGTCCCAAAGTTGTACAAGTTGTAGCCCTCTCAAAAAGGTTGGCTGATTAGCCAAACATCGTGACAGCTGCTGACCAACCAGCAAATGCTTCGCTGCCAGAAAAAAACATTGGCATACGAAATCAGAGGAGAGTTGCTCTTGCCTTATTTCCTGCAATGGCAAAATTTTTCCATGTGAATTCTAAAAGCCGTTTGTGCTCTCAAATCTCTCCCAGCCTCCCCTCTTCTAACTTTCAGTATGTCTGGCTTCAAGCCGGTGGAGAACCTGGAGGATGGCAGCGAACTTGAGGCTGACGTTTCCTTTCGAATGAAACGGTCCACGTTGAAGAAGACTGCTGTAGCAGTGGCAACTGCTATGGTCGTTTGTGTGGGCATTTTTGCCTTGTCAACGAATGGCTTCAGCCACAACTGCAACAATGTTGGAGCTTTGCAAGGCAAGTCTGCTTTGGATCTTGACTCTGCCATCCGCACCACTAGTGAAAAACTGATTCAGGCAGCCAAGAACAATCAAACTCTGGCTGATGAGACTGTGATGAAGGCCATGGTGAAGGCAGGTCACAAGGTTCAGGACCACTGGGAGAAGCACCACATCCGCAAGTTGGATACTCTTGTGACGATCCGAAAGGTGAAAGGATTCCGCCAAGGACAAAAGGCCGCGCTTGCTGGACGTGCGGAATGCTCCTTCAACATTTTGGAGGCATTTGTCTCAGCAGTGGGTATGGGTGATGACATCAATGCCATCATTCGAACTTGCCCTGCACCTCGTGATGGTGAGTCTGAGTTGGCTTGCCAGGTGAACGGTGGCATCCTGGGTGCTTGGGTGGGCAACCTTGCTACAAAGCTGGCCTTAGCAGCTTCCAATTGTGCGCTGAGCATCAACGTGGATGCCATTTGCTCTGCTGGTGTCACAGGCTTGGTGTCAGCCATGGGAGAGATTGCAGCTGGAGCTTCTTTGGGTGCGGCCGTATGTACCGGAACTCCGCCACAACTGACCACCACCAAGATCAGTGTCCTGGGAGATCAGACTGTCCGGGACAGTCGACGTTTGCTGATTGGAGAAGGCGCTGTCGGCAACGGTGTGCAGTGTGGTGTGGATGTGGGCATGGTGGCAGCCAACATTGCAAACATGGGTCTTGCCATCAACAAGGCCGTGAATGTGAACAAGTGCAAAGCGAGCACCTTCCGTTCACCATTGAACGTGGTCAAGGGCATCCCAGAGTCACTTTGCACCGTCGACATTGGTGGTGCTGTGGCCTACATCGGTCAGGTTGTTACCTTCATCAACCTAATTGTGGTTCACTGTCAGGACTGAATGGGCCTGAGCACAGCCATTTTTATTTTGCTGCCAAACTTTCTTCTTGTTCATCGTTGCTTTCATGAAGTGTTTGGTTTAATCTTGGAACACTCTTCAGGCACTGTTGAGCTTGTTCTGTCTTGAGATGCTGACATGGAAACCCTAGATACCAAGCACATAAACTACTTACTTTAATTACGGTATATTGAATGATGGACTGCAGCAAGTAGTGTCTCGTTACTATTACTTATTACTTATTACTTATTGCTATTACTTCTTACAGTGCCTTCGAATGCCTCAAGATCTTCAGATGGGCTGCAGCGTAGTGTCTTCAGCCAGGACTTTCTGGATGTCAACGCACTTTGTGCTGGCTCCATTGCTGCGATCACCACCGGTGCAGCGGCCATTGCGCCCTACGGCGCAGCAGTGCACGCGGCCTGCGCCAACAACCATTTCTTGAAAACACCCAAGAGTCAAGAACAGCTTTCTGCATTGTGGAATTCCCCGGGCTATGATCCTGTGTCAGGCCTGAAACACCCTCGACGCTTGACGGAGGAGGAAGAGATGGCTGCTAAGCAACCCTTGAAGGAAAGCTTGGCTCAGATCGCAGCGAACCGTGACACTTTGGAGGAGCTGAAGAAGGTGACGGATGTTCCCAAGCCGGGCAACACAGAGGCAGACATGGAGACTCTCTTGAGCCTCATGGGCGGCGAGGACAAGCCGCGTGCCGCCTGGCCATTTGAATGCTAGGTCACGTTGAGAGCCGTGAGGACAGCTTTTCGACGTGTCGCCTATTCTCAGTAAGTGGTCAGATCGTGTCAGAAGATGAAATGCAGCTGACACATCACGGAATCGTAATCATTTTGATTATATTTGAATATATAATTAATAATAGACATATTTGATCCATTTTGATTTTCTTTCTATCAGCTTAAACGCTGTTGGTGCTAGGTCAACATGACCTAGCTACCTGAAATTACCTGGATCATGGATGATTTGGGTAGGCTGTTTTTGGGTTGGTGTGGAATCTCTGCATCAGTAAATCCCTTCCTGTGCTTCTGCTGACCTGACGACAGTCCATGTCGAATGGTACTGGCAAAACCCTGTTGACTGTGGCCTTTGCAGCTTCAAAAAGAGTTGCGAGATCCAGCAGAATGCAGAAAGTGACATCCACATTCCTGTCCATAGTGAAATAGTGAATGAGCGTATACATTCGCATACCAATTGCAGCAAGTCTTGTTGTTGGATGTTGTTGGCACATGGAACGGCGTAACAGGATTGAATCAATTCAATTCCGTGTGTATTAACAGCACCCGATACTTTGGCAACGGCCAGTGAATTTCCATGCGAATTCCATTAGCATCCACAAGCCATTTGTGCTCTCAAATCTCTCCCGACCTCCCTTGCTGTGAAGCACCCTTCTCCCATCTTCTAACTTTCAGTATGTCTGGCTTCAAGCCGGTGGAGAACCTGGAGGATGGCAGCGAACTTGAGGCTGACGTTTCCTTCCGAATGAAACGGTCCACGTTGAAGAAGACTGCTGTAGCAGTGGCAACTGCTATGGTCGTTTGTGTGGGCATTTTTGCCTTGTCAACGAATGGCTTCAGCCACAACTGCAACAATGTTGGAGCTTTGCAAGGCAAGTCTGCTTTGGATCTTGACTCTGCCATCCGCACCACTAGTGAAAAACTGATTCAGGCAGCCAAGAACAATCAAACTCTGGCTGATGAGACTGTGATGAAGGCCATGGTGAAGGCAGGTCACAAGGTTCAGGACCACTGGGAGAAGCACCACATCCGCAAGTTGGATACTCTTGTGACGATCCGAAAGGTGAAAGGATTCCGCCAAGGACAAAAGGCCGCGCTTGCTGGACGTGCGGAATGCTCCTTCAACATTTTGGAGGCATTTGTCTCAGCAGTGGGTATGGGTGATGACATCAATGCCATCATTCGAACTTGCCCTGCACCTCGTGATGGTGAGTCTGAGTTGGCTTGCCAGGTGAACGGTGGCATCCTGGGTGCTTGGGTAGGAAACCTTGCTACAAAGCTGGCCTTAGCAGCTTCCAATTGTGCCCTGAGCATCAACGTGGATGCCATTTGCTCTGCTGGTGTCACAGGCTTGGTGTCAGCCATGGGAGAGATTGCAGCTGGAGCTTCTTTGGGTGCGGCCGTATGTACCGGAACTCCGCCACAATTGACCACCACCAAGATCAGTGTCCTGGGAGATCAGACTGTCCGGGACAGTCGACGTTTGCTGATTGGAGAAGGCGCTGTCGGCAACGGTGTGCAGTGTGGTGTGGATGTGGGCATGGTGGCAGCCAACATTGCAAACATGGGTCTTGCCATCAACAAGGCCGTGAATGTGAACAAGTGCAAAGCGAGCACCTTCCGTTCACCATTGAACGTGGTCAAGGGCATCCCAGAGTCACTTTGCACCGTCGACATTGGTGGTGCTGTGGCCTACATCGGTCAGGTTGTTACCTTCATCAACCTAATTGTAGTTCACTGTCAGGACTGTATGGGCCTGAGCACAGCCATATTTATTTTGCTGCCAAACTTTCTTCTTGTTCATCGTTGCTTTCATGAAGTGTTTGGTTTAATCCTGGAACACTCTTCAGGCACTGTTGAGCTTGTTCTGTCTTGAGATGCTGACATGGAAACCCTAGATGCCAAGCACATAAACTACTTACTTTAATTACGGTATATTGAATGATGGACTGCAGCAAGTAGTGTCTCGTTACTATTACTTATTACTTATTACTTATTGCTATTACTTCTTACAGTGCCTTCGAATGCCTCAAGATCTTCAGATGGACTGCAGCGTAGTGTCTTCAGCCAGGACTTTCTGGATGTCAACGCACTTTGTGCTGGCTCCATTGCTGCGATCACCACGGGTGCAGCGGCCATTGCGCCCTACGGCGCAGCAGTGCACGCGGCCTGCGCCAACAACCATTTCTTGAAAACACCCAAGAGTCAAGAACAGCTTTCTGCATTGTGGAATTCCCCGGGCTATGATCCTGTGTCAGGCCTGAAACACCCTCGACGCTTGACGGAGGAGGAAGAGATGGCTGCTAAGCAACCCTTGAAGGAAAGCTTGGCTCAGATCGCAGCGAACCGTGACACTTTGGAGGAGCTGAAGAAGGTGACGGATGTTCCCAAGCCGGGCAACACAGAGGCAGACATGGAGACTCTCTTGAGCCTCATGGGCGGCGAGGACAAGCCGCGTGCCGCCTGGCCATTTGAATGCTAGGTCACGTTGAGAGCCGTGAGGACAGCTTTTCGACGTGTCGCCTATTCTCAGTAAGTGGTCAGATCGTGTCAGAAGATGAAATGCAGCTGACACATCACGGAATCGTAATCATTTTGATTATATTTGAATATATAATTAATAATAGACATATTTGATCCATTTTGATTTTCTTTCTATCAGCTTAAACGCTGTTGGTGCTAGGTCAACATGACCTAGCTACCTGAAATTACCTGGATCATGGATGATTTGGGTAGGCTGTTTTTGGGTTGGTGTGGAATCTCTGCATCAGTAAATCCCTTCCTGTGCTTCTGCTGACCTGACGACAGTCCATGTCGAATGGTACTGGCAAAACCCTGTTGACTGTGGCTTTTGCAGCTTCAAAAAGAGTTGCGAGATCCAGCAGAATGCAGAAAGTGACATCCACATTCCTGTCCATAGTGAAATAGTGAATGAGCGTATACATTCGCATACCAATTGCAGCAAGTCTTGTTGTTGGATGTTGTTGGCACAAGGAACGGCGTAACAGGATTGAATCAATTCAATTCCGCGTGTATTAACAGCACCCGATACTTTGGCAACGGCCAGTGAATTTCCATGCGAATTCCATTAGCATCCACAAGCCATTTGTGCTCTCAAATCTCTCCCGACCTCCCTTGCTGTGAAGCACCCTTCTCCCATCTTCTAACTTTCAGTATGTCTGGCTTCAAGCCGGTGGAGAACCTGGAGGATGGCAGCGAACTTGAGGCTGACGTTTCCTTCCGAATGAAACGGTCCACGTTGAAGAAGACTGCTGTAGCAGTGGCAACTGCTATGGTCGTTTGTGTGGGCGTTTTCGCCTTGTCAACGAATGGCTTCAGCCACAGCTGCAGCAATGTTGGAGCTTTGCAAGGCAAGTCTGCTTTGGATCTTGATTCAGCCATCCGCTCTACCAGTGAAAAGCTGATTCAGGCAGTGAAGAACAACCAAACCGTGGCTGATGAGACTGTGATGAAGGCCATGGTGAAGGCAGGTCACAAGGTTCAGGACCACTGGGAGAAGCACCACATCCGCAAGTTGGATACTCTTGTGACGATCCGAAAGGTGAAAGGATTCCGCCAAGGACAAAAGGCCGCGCTTGCTGGACGTGCGGAATGCTCCTTCAACATTTTGGAGGCATTTGTCTCAGCAGTGGGTATGGGTGATGACATCAATGCCATCATTCGAACTTGCCCTGCACCTCGTGATGGTGAGTCTGAGTTGGCTTGCCAGGTGAACGGTGGCATCCTGGGTGCTTGGGTAGGAAACCTTGCTACAAAGCTGGCCTTAGCAGCTTCCAATTGTGGTGTGAGCATCAACGTGGATGCCATTTGCTCTGCTGGTGTCACAGGCTTGGTGTCAGCCATGGGAGAGATTGCAGCTGGAGCTTCTTTGGGTGCGGCCGTATGTACCGGAACTCCGCCACAATTGACCACCACCAAGATCAGTGTCCTGGGAGATCAGACTGTCCGGGACAGTCGACGTTTGCTGATTGGAGAAGGCGCTGTCGGCAACGGTGTGCAGTGTGGTGTGGATGTGGGCATGGTGGCAGCCAACATTGCAAACATGGGTCTTGCCATCAACAAGGCCGTGAATGTGAACAAGTGCAAAGCGAGCACCTTCCGTTCACCATTGAACGTGGTCAAGGGCATCCCAGAGTCACTTTGCACCGTCGACATTGGTGGTGCTGTGGCCTACATCGGTCAGGTTGTTACCTTCATCAACCTAATTGTGGTTCACTGTCAGGACTGAATGGGCCTGAGCACAGCCATATTTATTTTGCTGCCAAACTTTCTTCTTGTTCATCGTTGCTTTCATGAAGTGTTTGGTTTAATCCTGGAACACTCTTCAGGCACTGTTGAGCTTGTTCTGTCTTGAGATGCTGACATGGAAACCCTAGATGCCAAGCACATAAACTACTTACTTTAATTACGGTATATTGAATGATGGACTGCAGCAAGTAGTGTCTCGTTACTATTACTTATTACTTATTACTTATTGCTATTACTTCTTACAGTGCCTTCGAATGCCTCAAGATCTTCAGATGGGCTGCAGCGTAGTGTCTTCAGCCAGGACTTTCTGGATGTCAACGCACTTTGTGCTGGCTCCATTGCTGCGATCACCACCGGTGCAGCGGCCATTGCGCCCTACGGCGCAGCAGTGCACGCGGCCTGCGCCAACAACCATTTCTTGAAAACACCCAAGAGTCAAGAACAGCTTTCTGCATTGTGGAATTCCCCGGGCTATGATCCTGTGTCAGGCCTGAAACACCCTCGACGCTTGACGGAGGAGGAAGAGATGGCTGCTAAGCAACCCTTGAAGGAAAGCTTGGCTCAGATCGCAGCGAACCGTGACACTTTGGAGGAGCTGAAGAAGGTGACGGATGTTCCCAAGCCGGGCAACACAGAGGCAGACATGGAGACTCTCTTGAGCCTCATGGGCGGCGAGGACAAGCCGCGTGCCGCCTGGCCATTTGAATGCTAGGTCACGTTGAGAGCCGTGAGGACAGCTTTTCGACGTGTCGCCTATTCTCAGTAAGTGGTCAGATCGTGTCAGAAGATGAAATGCAGCTGACACATCACGGAATCGTAATCATTTTGATTATATTTGAATATATAATTAATAATAGACATATTTGATCCATTTTGATTTTCTTTCTATCAGCTTAAACGCTGTTGGTGCTAGGTCAACATGACCTAGCTACCTGAAATTACCTGGATCATGGATGATTTGGGTAGGCTGTTTTTGGGTTGGTGTGGAATCTCTGCATCAGTAAATCCCTTCCTGTGCTTCTGCTGACCTGACGACAGTCCATGTCGAATGGTACTGGCAAAACCCTGTTGACTGTGGCCTTTGCAGCTTCAAAAAGAGTTGCGAGATCCAGCAGAATGCAGAAAGTGACACCCTCATTCCTGTCCATAGTGAAATAGTGAATGGGCGTATACATTCGCATACCAATTGCAGCAAGTCTTGTTGTTGGATGTTGTTGGCACAAGGAACGGCCCGAAGATAAGACCTACTTCTCGAGAACGCGTGGGACGAAGTTCTACAAATGCCACAGGGAGTACTTAAAACCTTCTGTGTGTAAAAGCTCCTCTGTCTAAAGACTTCTCTCTGTGTAAAAACTTGTGCGTGTAAAAGCCACTCTGTGTAAAGACTTCTCTGTGTAAAAGCCTCTGTGTGCAAAAGCTTCTGTTCCTAAGAGCCACTCTGTGTAAAGACTTCTCTGTGTAAAAGCCCCTGTATGTGTGTGTGTGTGAAACCCGTTATAACATACGGATATTTTACAATTTCGTACAACGAAGCAAGGAAGACAATATGTGGCGACAATAAGAACTGAATTTTAATTCAGACATGCAGGGGGCTGGAGTGTGAATCAGAAGTCTCCAGCCAACGAAGACGCTTCTGATGTCACAGTGATATCAACCTGGGACGCTGGGTTGACGTACCTGCAATGTTGGTTCGAACTTTTGCACAAGCTGTTCTATTACCTTGTTTTTGAGTCCTTTGGCAAGAATCGATTGCCCGAATTTCACCGTTTGCAACCGTGCCCCATCGAAGGTGACTTAGGAAATCAGGCGACGGCAAGTTCTACTCTCATCATCATCAAATCAACCTAAGCAGTGTGTTTGGGTGAACTCACTGACTTGTGAGCACCGTCGATCTGCTTCGTGCGGGTCTAGATCTGGTCACCGGCCGCTCCGGTGGATAGTGGAATGTCCAATTGGGACAATCCGGATTCGACGTGGTTGTTATGTCAATCACAGGATTACTCCACTTTAGGAGCGAATTATGACAATTTGTCATACTTCAACGGATTAGTCCCAACGATGGACGGATTAGTCCCTTCGAAGGACCAGGATTAATCCCTATAGGGATGGATTAACCCTTCGGGGGGTCTCACCTGTTGTCTTACCCAGGTCCGATCCTTACAGAATCACAGTTTGCAGTTCAAAAAACGTTCTGATTCTTTCACAATTCCGTTTTCAGTTGTTAAAAATTTTCTCGCTGTTTGACATTTTTGTGACCTTTATATGTTTGCTTTTGAATGTCATGAACAATGTACCCAATATGTTGGCTCTGAAGCGACAGTTGCTGCAAGATGTCATTGTTTTAAACCAACATCCTTCAATGTTACAGGTGGTTGTTGTCTGCTTCAATTTTATTGTTTTTCCTTTTTTTCTCTTTTGCCTTCGTTTTCATATATGGACATTATCAACATTACCATGATACCGACCGGCGTAGTTCCGAAGTCCATGGGTCCCCCACCTCGTGATCCAATTCCTACTTGGGCCACACCAGCTAGCAGACGTACCACTGAAGATGTCAGTTTTCATTATCGGGGATTCACTGGCGAGTTTGAATTCAGAGTACCTCGCGGAGAGGCATCACTCATGGCACAACGTGTTATTCAGAATGATCAGGCTATTCAGATGCACAGTCTACAGGTTCAGGAACATCAATGCCAATTGGGAATACTTCAAGCTCAAAATCAATTTCATCAGCTTGGGATTATCTCTCAATTTGCCAATTTGACGCATGCAGGAAATCAAACAGGTTGGATACCTGGCTTACATTTGACCTTTCCCAATTCTTCGGGACAAATCGCGACATCAGTTACACCTGCTCTGACTGATCGGGTAACGACCTCAGAACGGCCATCGAAACGATTTCGCAGTGACAATATATTGGAACCTCCAAGATCGGAACGTGGTCCGGATCCCCTGGACAAGTCTGGTACGATTCCATCTCAGCTCGGCACTTTCGTACATCAGTGGGGAACTCAGAACTTCCAAAGCGATGTCGCTCCTGAAGTTTCTGCAGAGACTCAAACAAAATCAGTATGTTTCAAAATTGGACGACAACCAGAAAAGTTTATCTCTTCCAGTGTACTACAGATTATGGAATTTAAGCATCCACAATTGGAACACCTCGGACACCATTTGTGGGTGTCGCATCCACTGGCACGTTTTTCGTCCAATCAATTTGATGCAATACGACATGGAACATTGAAGGAGTTGGATTGGTGTGGACTGTACAGCACTGTATTGCGTTTACACTCAGATTTATACCAAAATCCACATCGAATTGCTGGAGGATTTGAGATGGGTAGACTTATTGAAGAACCACGTCAACAAAAATGGATTCCAGACATGCATCATTTTTGTCGAGCTAACGGCTATCAAACCTTCGATGAAGCCAAACGAATGAGTGGTTTTTGGTATGAATATGTCACACATGATTTGCGCACATGCTTTCCATCAGCCTTCATGAACTCACGAGCTGCTCATGTGGAGGAAGGAATCCAAATTTTGATTGCATCCTTGATGCAATATCCAGCCAACTCTATTTTGATAGAGGAATTTCAGATATTGATGTCTTCCACACAGACACCCTTGGCCATCCTAGCATCAGTGCAACCACCATATTTTCGAAGCACTCCCAAAGTCCAATTCAATCATCGTTTCCTTTTTGGCCATAACACTCAGGCTTTAGCTCTGTGTGACATTGTTCGGGAAGGATTTATTCGTCCTTCTAGTTGTGATCCCGCTGACAAATCATGGTTGCCACCTACTTCCTTTTATTGCCGAACAGTCGTACCTAACCATGATGATTTTCACAAAAGTGATATGGAACGGTTGGTCAAGATGTGCGGAAAGTACGGCGGCGCCCTCAGTGATCGCCCTGTATGTATTCTTGGAGAAGCATTTTCGAGGCAGGAACATATTCGTACACCACAGGGTGGAGTTATGGCTGACCATATGATCACTATGGTAGCTGACTCAGCACATGGAGCGGACCAACGGTGGGCTTTCCGATCCCATCTTTCGAAGATCAAGTACGTCGCGGTGATCCTACATGAGAGCAAATTAAAATGATTAATCCATGGAGTATACATCTCCAGAAATCATGTCTTGGAGTCTTTATTTGGAGTATAAAAACAGTGCTGACTCAGATTTTTCGATTGTTAGCTTCGCGTGTGTGCATCGTTTTTCTGCCGTGTTCTTGTCCCCTTTTCTTTTTGCTTGTCCCCTTTTCCTTTTGCTTGCCTCCTTCTTCCTTTTTCCTTGCTTCTTCTGCATGCTACCTTCCCGCGGTGTCCTTCTCTGTGTTGCTTCTAAGTAATTTGTGCTCCGCAGCGTATTTATATAGGAGCTATGTTGCGTCAAAATTGCATCAATCGCCGACATATTTTCAGGAACGTTATGCTGATGAAGAATCTATGCGATCAGTTTTACATCACCGGTGTCTGTTCTGTTCGATGCATGTGGAACTTCATACTTTAGATTTTTCACAATGTGAATTTGACAATGAGAATTGACCTTGACCTTGTACAGTTCTACTGAGTTAACAGCATGTCAGTCCATTAAGTCACTGTGTCAGTGGCACTCATTTTCACACAAAGTTCTTCTGCGATTTTGTCTTTGACACTTCAGCAGGTTCAAGACATCAACTTATCGACTTTCCTACTCTTCCCCTCCTCATATAGACATGGGACGGAATTCTCGATCTCGATCGACCAGACGAACACACAGAGAAACAGGAAGACGTAGATCATCTCGCCAGAGCCCCAGAGAACGATCTCCTCGTCGGAAGAATCGGGACGATTCACGTCATCGTTCTGAGCTCAAAAGATCGCAGACGGACCGGCTTGAGATCCCGTCATCATGGAACAGCAGTGATACTCATTGGGACACAAAAACAGAATATGGACTAAATCTTCCCAAGAGGGTTGAATCTACTCAATTTAGTCGTCGACAGAACCTTGCAGGACAAGAAATATCCCAAATTAAGCTTATCGATGTTGTTCAAAGTGGAATCAGCAATTGGGGCCTTCGCCTCGTGGCCAACGGTAGATTTGTTTCATGCGAATTCTTTCGCAATCGACTGGAAGCTACTTTTGCCACTACACTTTTTCGAGAAATGTCAAAGCAGAAGGACACCTTGGACTTCCATCGACTGTTGGGAGCTTTCACACCACAGGGTCAAGATCCGCAAGAATGGGACACGAAGTTGACAAGTATCAAGGGATTGGTCCAGTCAACATTAGATCATTTTCGCACTCTCTGTCCTCAAGATTCACAGCAAGCCATACTAGAAGAACTAGAGAAACTCAAGGCTGAGAATGCTGCATTGAAAGCATCCCAAGCCCCAGAAAGTGGTAATCCACCATCTCAACAGACGCAGCGGCCCCCAACAGGCCAACCCCAAATCAATGCGTTTTTCCCCAACAGTAGTACACCAGGAGGCCCGTCCAGTCCTGCAGACCCTTTGATGTCCTATCGTCGCAAAGACGCCCAAGCCTTCTATGCAATCCAGGCACCTCAAACAGGAACTGAGGCAAAAGTCCGTGATTGGGTGAAGAAGAACGTTCCCAAGGAACGTCAGGGAGAATTGAACAAGTGTGTTGAAACTCTTCAAAACCATTTGAAACAATTCGATCAGGCGAATCAACCCAACCTGGAACCAATTTTAAGCGATTG